TCAGCCTTTTAGTGTTGTCCTGCTGCGATATCGGTTCGGTATCCTGTCATCGCACTGTACTGCATTCCTGCTGCCGTTCCCATAGTTACTCGCACATATGTGCTTGGAGTCGTTTTTGGTTTGGCTTTTCTGTGTTTCGAGCGTCTCTTGGATTCAGGTCGTCTCGATTTTTCACTTCTTTATATTCTTTTATTCATTGTTTGACTTTTTTCATTGTTTTATGATTCATTGATTAGACTTTAGCTCAGGTGTCGCTGCTCGATAACCAATTTTGGTTTTCGCGACTCCTTTCACCTCGAATTATCCGTTTTTGCTTCCTTTTACATTCCGTATGCATTTAGTGTATTTCATGTGTGGTGAAAAAATAAACTACTGATTACTGATTCTGCAACACGTAGCTCTGCAGCGGCGTGCAGCCGATTTCTTTGCTTCGTTTCAATGAGCATATATACAATGAGTGGAAACTTGCAAAGATTTGCTCATTGTGGCATTGTTCCCTGCATTTTTACGTCGTCCAGCTAAATGGTTCGTTGCATATTAAGAAAACGCATTGCTCGCTGCCAAAATCCCTTGCTTCAGCCGAGTCGGGTGCGAAACTGGCCGTATTAACTTGAATTGAGGTCTTTAATTTTTTAATACATATTTGATTTTGGGTTTCGAAGTACGGTACGCTGAAAGCATACAACTATGAGCATATGCATATCTACAGAACAGAATATGAACCAGTCGCCGAGAGGAGTGCGGTTATTTATGTATTTATTAATTGATATAACATGGGATTTATATATTTATCCAAAGGGAGAAGAAAGCCGAAAAGAAAGCCTAAATATATGGCGAACCACGGCCTCTCTCAATCATAGCTCTGTGCTCCATATGAATCACATGGCTCTGCGAGCTATTCGTTTACTTATTAAAAATACTGATTTTTAATTAAATTACTCTGGGATATCTTGCCATTGAAAACAAAAGCCAGAAATTGGAAGAAAAGCAGGGAATGAAATGTGTGTATTATATAATGGAGAACCTGAGTTTGTTTCACATATTTTCATGTATTGTAAATTTACAAAATATATTTATGAAGATTTTGTTTTAGATATATTAAAATTGATCAGAATACATTTTGTTATCAATATGATTCTTGCATATTATTTAATTTTAACGATCCTTTATATAGTCGTATAGATACTGTTGATTTGGATGCAATTATACTTTTGTAATCAATAGTGAGAAATATTTCATGACTGCTATTAACTATGTGAGCTATTTTTTCTGCAATGCAAAATATCTCCTTCGTCCGCTATTTACTATGTGAATTGATTTTTCTGTAATGTAAAGTATTTCCATAACTGCTTTTACTATGTGGGCTGTTTTTTCGGTACTCGTAGTATGTGTACCAGGTTAGGTTACGATTCTCCTTATTTTTGTTCTATTAAAAGTTCGGGAATTGTCTGTGTTACACAAGTGAATATCCCCCTACCGATAGAATTTAGTCCATTTACACAACTTGATATAAAGTAGGCGAACAAAATTAGTTACCTTTATATTGGTACACATACTTCTGGAGCACCATTTTTTTGTAATGTAAAATATTTAATATGTGAACTAATTTTTCTGTAATGCAAAATATTTTCTACAGCTTCTGTATTTTTTATATGTCACTTTTCATTTCATCGATAATACACATTGTTCATTCTTTGTGAAGTTTTTGGTAACTTTACAGATGGAATAAGACCGACATTCAGCTTTTTCTGTTTCACAACTGTAATACAAAAAGGTACTCTTGAAGTATGTAAACCCAGTTGGTAGACACCGAAACCATGTGTACCAGGTTAGGGTCTACTACATACAAACATTCCCAAACTTTTCAAGCCGCACCCCCTTTTTAGAATTGTGAAGTCTTGCGCCGCACCTCAAAAATAATTAGCCAACAATAATAAGCTACAAATAACAGTAGTAAGGCGTAAGTATGTTTTATTGGAAATACATGGATGGAACAAAATAAATGACAAGTTTTGATATGCATAAAATTAGCCAAGTCCAGAAGTCAGTATTTTAAACTAATAGAGGGGGAGAGTTTATTTCGTTCGTCAAACCATGAACATATATAAATTATAATAAAAAAAAACAGATGCTCAGGTGTTTGACTGGGAGACAACGTTACAACATTTCGGGTCATTTAACAGGTTTGGTGTTAAATTCTTCAATACCTCTCATATACCTTATTCAAAAATTTGTCTACTAAAAATGAATGTTATAGGACATGGATTTTTTATAAGCAAAGATGGGGAAAATTCTATTATTATAGCACTTTAATTATAAACATTTGATAATAGTAATGAAATCATGAGTAGATTTCTTTATACACTATAATTTGAACACATCAAATTATAATACTTGATTATGACTGGCAAGTGATTTGGAGGATAGTAACACACAATAATACATGATCAGGATTTGACCCTTCTCCAGCAGATATATATATGAAATAAAGTGCTCATGTACATATCTATATTCGGCTACAGAGCACGTAACATAGAATGAATTTTAAGGCGAAATATTGATAATATACTGAAATAGCAATGATACCCAATTGGTTATTTTTAAATAAGTATTACCGGTACTAAAAAATAAATAAAGTGCTCATATACATATAGATATTTGGATACAGAGCAAGTATCATAGAATGAAATTTAAGGGAAAAAACTGATAAAATACTAGAATAGCAATTATAATAAACATTATGATACTTTTAAATGAAGTATTACTAAAAAATAAATAATGTGGTCATGTACATATATATTTGGATACAGAGAAAGTGTCATAGAATGGAATTTAGGGCGAAATATGGATGCAAGTATGATAAACAATTTGATATTTTTATAAAAGGTGTTACTAAAAAATAAAATAATAGATTATGGAGTTCCAGCAAGTGTGCTCATAACAAATAAAAAGATAGCAATTCATTTACCACAGTGAATTAAATTCATTACACATTACTACTTGCTATAACACAGCAGGTACATGATCCTCATCGTGTTTTGAACTTTTTTAAAGGTTTTGCTCGCTCTCCAGAACTCTCCATTTTTTATTTGTTTGTATTGTCAGATTGTGGACTTTTCAAAATAAACTATCTCTATCTATATCAATGAATACAATATCCCAGGTTCCCACTTGGCTGGTTCATATTCTGTTCTGTAGATAAGTTTTCTGCCTAATAGATGGTATGTATTCCCAATAAGCATTACAGTATGCTCATTCGTTCACTCAATGAGTGATTTTAATTACGGTAAATATAAAATAATATATATAATATAAATAAGTTCATATTCCATTTTGCATCCATGATCCGGTATTTATTTTGTTCAATTCCAGTGGTAATCCATAACATAATTAGGTTATTTTAATAAATGCATTGATATAAAACAATAAAAATAAAATTAGTAAATATAAAATACATATCATAAACATATAATTTTCTTTTTAAAATAATGCTTTACATATATTTTTCAATTCCCTCTCAAATGGGTTGTTTATTCTATAATTCTCTATATTTTTCTACACATTAGGGCCATTTTTATCTGCTTTTTGAGAAAGGCAAAATGTGGTGTTTTATTTTCGAATATAATAGAATTTCTCATGGTCAAAATTTTATATCTCACTATTGATAACAAAAGTATAATTGCATCCAAATCAACAGTATCTATATGACTATATAAAGGATCGTTAAAATTAAATAATATGCAAGAATCATATTGATAACAAAATGTATTCTAATCAATTTTAATATATCTAAAACAAAATTTTCATAAATATTTTTTGTAAATTTACAATACATGAAAATATGTGAAACAAACTCAGATTCTCCATTACATAATACACACATTTCATTCCCTGCTATTCTTCCAATTTCTGGCTTTTGTTTTCAATGGCAAGATATCCCAGAGTAATTTATAGTTAAAATCAGTATTTTTAATAAGTAAACGAATAGCTCGCAGAGCCATGTGATTCATATGGAGCACAGAGCTATGATTGAGAGAGGCCGTGGTTCGCCATATATTTAGGCTTTCTTTTCGGCTTTCTTCTCCTCTTGGATAAATATATAAATCCCATGTTATATCAATTAATAAATACATAAATAACCGCACTCCTCTCGGCGACTGGTTCATATTCTGTTCTGTAGATACGTTTTCTGTCTAATAGATATGCAATCCCAATAAGCATATGCTCATAGCTGTATGCTTTCAGCGTACCATGCTTCGAAACCCAAAAACAAATATGTATTGAAGAATTAAAGACCTCAATACGGCCAATTTCGCACCCGACTCGGCTGAAGCAAGGGATTTTGGCAGCGAGCAATGCGTTTTCTTAATAAGCAACGAACCATTTAGCTGGACGACGTAAAAAATGCAGGGAACAATGCCACAATGAGCAAATCTTTGCAAGTTTCCACTCATTGTATATATGCTCATTGCTTCGTTTTAATTAAAGCTAGTGATAAACATTTTTTCGCATAACGTACTACTAACTGATTAAAAAATACGGACAACAGTTTGATTGCTCGATTACTTAGCGATGGGTATTTGTTATCAAGAGATATCAAAAATTGTAAGAGTGATTTTTAAATCTGGGCTGTAAAGTAGAATGTTAATCAAGCTTTTTCTTCTTCATCGGGTTTGTTATGAGAATTAAGTTCAGTTATTCCTGTTGCAGTGTGCTACACTTTGTTTATATTCCGTCATTATTACATTATCGTTCTTTGTGTTGTGATCACTGATTATCGTCAAGCGACAACGGACTGCATTTGCCTTGCTGCATTAGTTACGTGCCGTTACGAGTATTAGACGGTAGTCCGATTAAGTTTGGCTATACTTAGTGACTCAATGTAATTATGTTGCATGTTTTTGTGTTTAGGTTAAGATGCGTTTTTAGTTTCTTAAAGCCATAATTTCGGTTATAATAAATAAACTGTCATAACAATTTAAGAAACTAAAATCTTAAATATGGATGCATCGATGAAACCAATGAGACTTGACCTAAATCTGAATTCTCCAAGCGCGGCAAAGGAATGGAAGCACTGGCGAAAAACATTTGAGAACTACATTGAAGAATTAGAGATGAGTGTACAAGAGGGCCAGTCTGTGAATAAACTCAAGAGGCTAATCAACTCAGTATCTCACAATGTTTATGAATATATTGAAGATGTGGACGCTTATAGTAAAGCTATGGAAGTGCTACATAACTTATATGTCAAGACGCCGAATGAAATATTTGCACGACATCTGCTAGTTACGGCAAAGCAACAAACTGGTCAATCCATCGACGAATTTTTACAAACTCTGCGTAATCTAAGTAAAGATTGTAATTTTAAAGATGTTTCTGCCGCGCAGTACCGCGACGAACTTATACGTGATTCTTTTATCAATGGTATTTTGTCAAATAACATCCGACAACGTCTTTTGGAAAACAAGGACTTGACTCTTGAATTAGCGTTTTCACAAGCTTCATCACTTGATCTGGCGCAACGTAATTCGTCAGCATATGAAGCATCTCGAATCGACGAATTGCAACCTTCGGCATTGGCCACTTCCGAAACCTCTTTCGACAATGAAGGTATAGTAACTGGCCGTATAACAGGGCGAAAATGTATATTCTGTGGATATAATTACCACAATCGTCAAAATTGTCCCGCACGCAATGCCAATTGCTACAAATGCGATAAAAAAGGCCACTTTGCCAAAGTTTGCCGATCAAAGATGAATAAATCTGAAGACTCTTCATCTATAACGGCGTCAGTAAATCCATCAGTCCACGATGTGCAATCAGCACCACGGTGTTTACTGCCGGCAACACTTCCAGTTGTCATAGCTGGTCGCAATACAACTGCGTTGATAGATACCGGAAGCTCTCTCTCTTTTATAAACGAAAAGACTGCGAGAATGCTACGTTTGAAAATTTTGCCTTCACGGGAAAATGTAGTGATGGCTGTCCAGCATCTGCAAGGAACGACTATTGGATCCTGTTTAACTGATATGATAATTGGTACTCGTTCATATACCAAAGTGCCTCTTAAAGTATTTCGAGGTCTTTGTTGTGATTTATTGCTCGGTCAGGACTTTCAAAGACAACATGAAAGAGTCATTTTCCCTTTTAACGGCTCTCGTCCTGAACTTCTAGTTCAATATGAATCAAAAGTATGTGGTTTAGCTGCTGCAAACTACACCCCGGCTTCGTTATTTTCTAATCTCATGAAAAATTGTCATCCGATAGCTGTCAAATCTCGCCGTTTTGGCGCGTTAGACAAAGAATTCATCGCTAAAGAAGTTTCGAGAATGTACAACGAAGGAATTATCAGGCCAAGTTCTTCGCTGTGGAGAGCACAGCCTTTAGTTGTGAAGGACCCATTGACCTCAAAACGACGATTGTGCATAGACTATTCACAAACGATAAACATTTATACAGAGCTAGACGCCTATCCATTGCCGCGAATTGATGATATGGTTAACGAACTTGCTGGATATTCCTGGTTTTCCACCTACGATCTGAAATCCGCGTATCATCAGATTCCAATATGCCAGCAAGATAAAATTTTCACTGCGTTTGAAGGCGATGGTAAACTCTGGGAATGCAATCGTATTCCATTTGGAGTGACCAATGGAGTACCAGCTTTTCAGCGGCTAATGGATGAAATTGTGGAAAAAGGCAATCTGAAAGATACATTTCCATACCTCGACAATGTAACTATAGCTGGACATACAAAAGAGGAGCATGACTATAATGTGAAGAAATTTCTCGATACTGTTAAGAAAAACAATTTAACACTAAATGATGCAAAAACAGTATCAAGTGTACGGAAAATTAACATTTTGGGATATACAGTGGGTAATAATTCAGTAGCTCCAGATCCCGAACGCCTAGCTCCATTAAGAGAACTCCTACCTCCAACAAATAGTCGCGCTCTGCAAAGAATAATTGGACTTTTTGCGTATTATTCGAAATGGATTGTAAACTTTTCAGACAAAATGCGACGACTCCGCCAAGCGAAAACATTTCCTTTAGATTGCGCTACAGTACAAGACTTCGAATCACTAAAAAGAGAAATCGGAAATGCCACTTTGAGCTCAATTGATGAGCATGTTCCATTTGTTGTAGAATGCGACGCATCGGAGATTGCAATTTCAGCCACACTGAATCAAGGAGGGCGACCAGTGGCATTTTGGTCGCGTGTTCTACAGAAGAGCGAGAGGTTTTATCCCGCTGTAGAAAAGGAGGCAACGGCAATCATTGAAGCTGTGCGAAAGTGGGCCCATTTTCTGGCAAGACGTCCATTCACTATCGTGACCGACCAGCGATCGGTTTCTTTCATGCTAGATAACCGTCGTCGATCCAAAATAAAGAATAATAAAATTCAGTCCTGGAGGCTGGAACTAGCCTCTTTCAGTTACGACGTTAGATATCGACCTGGAAAACAAAATGCCGCACCTGATGCTTTAACACGTTCTACATGCGCATCAGTTTTTCCCACGTCATTGCAAGAAATACACGAAGGTTTATGTCACCCGGGCGTCACAAGACTTCTACATTTCGTCAAATCGAAAAATTTGCCTTTCTCGACTGATGACGTTAAAAGAACTTGTAAATTATGCCGCGTATGTGCGGAACTTAAACCGAAATTTTATTCCCCACCGTATGGCACATTAATCAAGGCCACACGGCCATTTGAAAGACTGAGTATGGACTTCAAGGGACCTTTGCCATCGCGGACAAAGAACGTATACATGCTAACCATTGTCGATGAATATTCTAGATTTCCATTTGTATTTCCATGCACCAATCTTTCTTCCGCTTCAGTAATAAGCTGCCTTGAAAAATTATTTGCTCTGTGCGGACTACCTGGTTATATACACTCTGATAGAGGAAAATCTTTTATGTCTGCGGAACTAAGGGATTTTCTGCTGAAACGTGGTGTAGCCACCAGTCAATCCTCGCCTTATCACCCAATTGGAAACTCCCAAGTTGAACGATTCAATGGAATCATATGGAAAGCCGTGCGTTTATGCTTGCGTACATATAATCTGCCTATCACACATTGGGAATATGTGTTACCGAAAGCTCTTCAATCGCTCCGATCTTTGCTTTGCACAGCAGTCAATGCAACTCCACATGAACTATTTTTCAACTTCCAACACCGCTCTCCCAGTGGTCATTCATTGCCTACCTGGTTGTGCGAATCAAAACATGCTTTTCTGCGGAAATTCGTTCGTTCGCACAAAAATGACGATTTGGTTGAACAAGTGGAACTAAAAAATGTGAATCCCGCATATGCTCGAGTTCGTTTTTCTGATGGGCGGGAGAGTACGGTATCGTTAAGAGACTTGTCCCCTTGTCCAGTCTCCCAACGATCTTCAAGTCACGATAGAGAGTCTCAAGACTTTTCTCCTGAATTCAATATGGACGAAGATAGTGAAACAAGTACTAATGCGTCACCACTAAATGATGGATGCAACGTTGACCGAAATGAAGAGTTCAAAATTGAAATTCCAATTAGCTCTGACAATGCTAATAATGAAAGGATTGCCACACGTCGTTCAACTCGAACTAACATTGGTGTTCCACCAGAACGCTATGGTTTTGAAATATAGACTGGGAGAATGTTATGAGAATTAATTTCAGTTATTCCTGTTGCAGTGTGCTACACTTTGTTTATATTCCGTCATTATTACATTATCGTTCTTTGTGTTGTGATCACTGATTATCGTCAAGCGACAACGGACTGCATTTGCCTTGCTGCATTAGTTACGTGCCGTTACGAGTATTAGACGGTAGTCCGATTAGGTTTGGCTATACTTAGTGACTCAATGTAATTATGTTGCATGTTCTTGTGTTTAGGTTAAGATGCGTTTTTAGTTTCTTAAAGCCATAATTTTGGTTATAATAAATAAACTGTCATAACAGGGTTCATCATATTAATCCCTCCGCAGTGATCGACGCTTCAAACGAAATGAATTTACATTACAATGACAAAGTCGGTAACTTTGCACCATGCTCAAAATCCTACTGTGTCTGCTCAAAATATTGGAAAATATCTCAACGGCCCATGCTCTTTTGCGCGTCTCGTAGCCACCTGCAAAATCGTAACAATATCATATATTACTGGAATATTATACTGTTCTTGACTTTTCTGGTTTAAACAAAGAAATATGCATAACGTTTCATATCAGGAAAAGCACGCAGAACAGAAAAAGCAAGCGATTTTTAGCTTTCTGAATCTTGCGAGATTTGATGGAGCGAATTCGCGATGAATCGCGAGTCGAAAAAGCGAAAAGTGTGATCACACGGCGCCAAGATGTCGCGAATGACGTCGCAATATGTCGGCAGAAGAGATATTGCGTAATAAATCAACGCAACCTCGTCTTCGGCAAAGCAATTGAATCGGCATAAAAACAAGAGAGCTATGCTCAAATATATGGACACGTAGCGCCCCCTAAGGGCAATAATTCTGATGACGTCATTGCAGAAAAAAAAAGTAATAGCCTTCTGAAGAAAATTTTTATCTTCAACCACTGAAAATTTCAAAGCAATTGGTCCAGTAATCAAAGAGAAAAGCGACTTTTTAAAAACGTGTCAAAGAACAAGAACAACAACAACATAATATTGAAACGATCGCTATGTCCACTACGTGTCCAACAACAAAACAACGCGGACCGACAAAAAAGCGAGTAGCAGTTCTTACCACTTCATGGCAGCTCCTGCCAAGAACGAACCACGGCGTCTCTTGCCATGGTGTATGGTGCTATTACCGGTATATTCACAAAGTTATATAACCAGATTTTAGTTTACCATGCGGAAATATATTTACTTAAACCTGAAAGCTGAACCCAAATCCATCAAAACTGTATCCATAAGAAAAATGTTCCAACTTACCCAATGGACCTTTCCCCGAGCATCGACTTCCTTATTTACTTCGTGACATTGGCCAATCAGAAAGATGCAAAAAGTGACGTAACAATGCTCCCTTTTCGCATCCGCTCAGACACTTTTCTCACTCAGACAGATTTTCAAGCGTGGTCGTAAACATTACCTCGTTTTCGCGTTTTTGAACTCTATTCGTTATTTTTCAGTTGTGTTTCGGAAACTTAAATATAAATCAGATAATTCAATGATCACTCTGTCTTCCTAGGAATTTTGAATTCAATTGCAGTAATAAAAAATTAGTGTAGAAATAGCTGTGATAGATTAGGCTAAAATTCCTTACTTGTACTTTTAAAAAACAGATTGTTGAATGCGATGAATCATAATGATGGTTTGAAACACATACCCCATTCTAAAGGCGCCAACTCGCAAAAGCACTCTTAAAATAGTCTCGAAAATTTTGCAACGGTAAAGTATAGAAGAATTTTAAGGGGGTCAAAGTCCATAGTTGTCACCATCAGGGGCATCCCTGTCCATACGGCCGACCTGCCGTGGTTACGGCATCAAAATTTTACCCGCCATTGGTTTTCAATTTGCTACCGCGGTAACGGCAGCTCGCCATTGGTTTGTGGCAGCTTAAAAGTCAGTCGCCATGAGTTTGGCCATAGCGGCCATGGTTTGGAAATACCGCCGTGGTTTTACGGCAGCTTCAGACGCCACGAAATACTTAAAACTGCACTTGAAAAAAGCTTCGCGGGCCGGTCCGCGCGGTTGGGAACCACTGCTGTGTAGAATTAATCAAATACGAAGATCATCATTAATTATAATTGATAGGTTAAACCAAATTGCAAGAAGTATCACTGAATCTCGATGATAAAATCGTTGTAAAATGGTAATAATCAAGAAACAGACTTAGATATTGTAGCACAGACGAGAACAGAACTATTTATATTCAAAATGAAAATTAATCTCACTGAACATCCGATAGGTTTTTCAATTTCAAACATCCCTGCATCAGAGTTCGTTTCCTCCTTACAAAAACACGTTCCCATTTCGCCTTATGACGGTATCGGTATAACTTCAAAACGTGCTTTCTTCTTGACTTTTCTTCGCAATGTTACCGGTACATTTATTTGTTTGCTATTCATAGTCAAGAACCTATATGTTTTCAAAATAAGTTTATGCGATTCACTAATTCAACATAAAACAGGTCAGCGTCCAGCATCACAGATTTCTCCAGCACTGCCCACAATAGGATTAGGATTTATATAATTATCCCGGGGGAGATAAAAGCCGATAATACGGCTTAGCCGGTATGTTAGTCGTTGGGCTTAACCATATGGCGAACCACGGCCTATCGTCCAGTTCCCATTCCATGTTGGGTATGAGATTGGTTGGTTTTTTGTTTTTCGGAGGCATGGAATTGATGGTGGAGGAAACCGTAACCGACTAGCGGTTACGTGAACCACTCTACGGCGGCGAGGAGTCCAGCAATCCTTTCGCACATAACTATCCCCGCACTCCCCTGCCGAGAATTGCCGCTCCAATAGTAATGCGCGAATGTGTTGTAAATGGACTACACCATAATCAATAGTAGTATAGCTTGTTCCGGATCTAGATAGATGTACGGTATAATCAGATTGAGATTTAACTAAGATTAGAATAAAAATTATTTTCTTGCAACTTCCATATACGTACGATAAGTACTCGATTTGTGGACTTCGGGCCTAAGTTATGGCAAGATAGGCGCTTTTAACCTGAAGAAAAAAACAGAATTCATTGAATTTTACCGTGTAGACCAGGGGTGGGCAACTTTTTAGGTCGGCGGGCCAGATGTGGGAAAATGAAGTCCTCGGCGGGCCAGATTATTACATAAATAGTATTCAATATCTTAATCACATATTTGTTCGCTAATGCAAGAAAGAAAATTATAAATCGTGTTTAAAAACAGTCTGCTGCCTAGCAAGTTTTCTGTCCAGTTCTGTTGCTTTAGCTTGCCGTTCCACTGCTGATAAATTATTGCCATAGTTTCCACGTTTCGTTACATAATGACGACTAATGTTCTACTCTTTTAATACCGCAACACTTTGACCACACAGTAAACATACTGCTTTGTTGTCAACCGTTGTAAAAAATACTTCGGTATCCAATCTTTGTTAAATGCCCGACACTCTGTCAACTTTACGTTTCTTGGGATATTCCATGGCTAATAAAACCTAATATAAAATCTATTTATATTTAGAATCTAAAAATAACTGTAGTAATAACTGTAACTGATAACAGTAGTGGGGAATGTTTACAACGCTCTCTTAGGCTTGCACGTAATTGACAAAAATCAATTCCGTAATTACATCAAAATCGATTACGTAATGACCCCGTAATTGCGATATTTTTTCACACATTTAAAAACCTATCATACCAACCATTTGAATCCACTTCTTTTCCGAATGGGACATCGAAGCTCGATTTTCATATTCCTGGCAGTACTACTCGTCGGCGAAATATGTTAAAGACAAATATCAAAGAGTATATTCAAATTAATTTTATTTTGATTTTTAACTTTTGTGTTAGCTTTGATTTTCCTTTATCACCTTCGCAAATTAACCGTCCCAATTTTATGCGATCAATTTTGTCATTACCGACACTGTTATACGGATATTTATGAAACGATAGATGACTTTTTTTTTAAATCGAGTTTCGTATTAAATAAAAATTTCGGGATTCCAATTTATTAAATTTACGACGAGCGAATTCTCTCGTTTGATTATACTTGCGCTTGCCTCGCGACAAAGACTTCTCATTGCACCGTTTTTTACATTATCCCACTTCACCACCTAGATAGCATTTTATAATAATTATTGATGCCGACTTATTGACGATATTCCGATTACCATGCCTCATTTTACATTAAATCATTCCGCGTCCTAAATGTTATAACATTATTTGCGATGAATTTGTATCAAATATTAATTATTTGCGCATAATTTAAATGCCGTACTTATATGACATGCCTTTACCGAAAATACAAAGTTATATCGCAAAACAATGCATTTTGTAACATTTATTTTGCACTAACGAAAAAATTAACTCGTTTTTCTAACTCAAATCGACGATGCTATCGCCCAAAATTGACACAAGTTTGGTCGAGTGGCGGTGGTATTCGAGTCCGCGATAAATAAAAATAAGTTGCCGCATTTGGTAAAGACAGTTGATCACATTCTCTCCTTTTGTGTGCCCATAACGGCGGTAAAATTCGTTTCATGTCTGTTTCATGAAGAGAAAGAAAAATACGACTTCCGGAATTGCAATCAACAATCACACATTCTTATTTATCATTCATTATCAGCGCCGAAAAGATACCATATCGTGAAGTCAAAAAAGTCTGGCGGTGTTAATTGCGTGATAATGCAGAGAATAATATCGTTTTGACCGGGAAACCAAGATGCGCAATCGTAAAACGACGCCGCTGCTTTTTTGTAGATGAAATTGCACATTAAAATTTCCCTTCAAACGGGGGTGGCAACGCGTCATGCCTTACCCCACCTCCGTAACAAAAGAGAGAAAAACGGCTGAGATTGACGCAACTCTACTTATTGAACTTTCATTTTTTACAATCGACGGAATTGACTGCTTTGAAGAGAGCTCGTTTCAATCGTGAAAGAGCTCGACAAATATTTACGACTTTACGTAATTCGTAACTTCCCTTCCGTAACTCGAAATAATTCCGTAATTTCGTAAATCCGTAAATTACGTGCAAGCCTGCTCTCTGCTTTGTTGTTTAACAAGTGAGCTAACGCAATGGACCTTTCCCCGAGCATCGACTTATTTTGTTTACTTCGTGACATTGGCCAATCAGCAAGGTACAAAAAGTGACGTAACAATGCCCCCTTTTCGCATCCGCTCAGACACTTTTCTCCCTCAGACAGATTTTCAGGTGTGATCGTAAACATTACCTCGTTTTTGAACTCTATTCGTCAGTTTTCAGTTGTGTTTCGGAAATTTAAATATATATCAGATAATTCAATGATCACTCTGTCTTCTTATGAGTTTTAATTTAATTGCATTAATGAAAAATTAGTGTAGAAATAGCTGTGATAGCTCGGGCTAAAATTCTTTATCGGTAATTTTGAAAATCAGATTGTTGTATGCGATGAATGATAATGATGGTTTGAAACACATATCCCATTTTACAGGCGCCAACTCGCAAAAGCACTCTTAAAAGAGCCCCGACCATTTTGCAATAGTAAAGTATAGGAAGAACTTTTTGGGAGTCAAAGGTCGGGGAAAGGTCCATTGTTTGTTCACTAAGGCAATTGTTTATTTCACCAGCTCGCTCTGACAGTGCGGTGAGAGTAGGGGGCTCCTGAAGTATGCGAACCAAGATGGCGGACATCGGAATGTAATATGTGTACTAGGTTACGGTTAGGCCATAATTTTAGGTACAAATACTACGAGAGGCACTTGGCTAGTCTTCGAACTCATAGTAGGACTAAAATAAGGGAAATTGGAATGAAATCATGGCCTAACCCTAACCTGTTACCCATGCTACGTTTCGATGTCCGCCATCTTGGTTCGCATACTTCAGGAGCACCGAGAGTAGAGCGATCGGCAACTTTCAGGAATGATGCGTCGGACGCATTACAGAGTATGGTTGGATACAGTCAGCGGGCCGGTCAAAAACTCGTCGCGGGCCGTATGTTGCCCACCCCTGGTGTAGACCCTAGTCCTAGATATTTACGGAAAAGAACGCAAAGAAAATATATTTTATTCTTCGTATTAGGAAAAAATAGTAAATTTTGATATGTATTATGCTATTTACTCAGATTAGAATATAATTCTATAAATAAATAAACTGAGAAGAAGGCAAGGTGGCGTTTCAATTGTTCCTGTGCAGGATTCATTTTTGAAGTAGTCAAATGTTAGGCAATATTCATCATAATGGTTCCTCTTGAGCTTTTTGAAACTTCTTTTTCGCGTATTTGATCATGCATTGCCGACGTCTGCGTTTTAAGATGTTCCGATTAACCGATATCCCAGACGACCGATTGGGAAATATTTGACATACTGTATTTCAAAAACTTTTGTTTAAACGGTAAAACGCATTATGTCGACAAGAAAACTCATCATTTTGCAAGCTCATGAATGCTTATTACGAATTTGAAACTTTGGGGTATTTCTGTTTTGCTTGATCTATGTCGTTGGAGTTGTGTTTTAGATGTTTTTAAACTAATAAGAAAAATTGATATTTTGTTCACAATTTGCAGATAAAGTCAGTGGTGAGCTGTAGCCGGCGTTCCGATTGTTAGACATTTTATTATATTTGCGTTCCTGTTGTTGAAATAAAATCATGGTACAAAAAGCCTAGTTTCTATGGTAAACTTAGTTATTAATTTATGTTTTGTTACATCATAAATCGTAATTCTTTTTACATCACATCATGCAAATAATTAGTACAGTAGTAACGTGTAATAGATGTTTCCTCGACCTTTGACCTCATGGAAATTCATCCTTCACTTTTCTAATAATAACATTTGTATTGGATTACCATGAATATTCTTGTAATTCTTAAACAGACATATTTCAGATAATTCCTACATATTTCATTGTAGTTTTCGGCTCTACCTTAGGACAGAAAAACTTTCTGTAAACGTCCGCGTCGTGTTGTAAATATATTACATTTTTGCGAATTAGGTGCGTTCCGGTTGTTACGATTTCCAGCTCATCACCGGATAAAGTATACATTTGGCAATCAAAAAACGAAAACGGGTAGATCTTAACAGACAAATGTTAAAAACGTTGTCCGTTAAAATTGAGAAATATGCAGGTCGTAAGTTAGATGACTCGGTCAAAATATATATATATAAACTATAAATATATGAAAAACCATAAAGGTTATCAATGATAGCGGTGGTAAAATAATCATTCTCAAATTAAACACAATTGAAATATTTATAAATCTACATGCTCAAATATTAGAAATATACATCCTACATTTTAACGAAGAAGATAAATGTTTTGCTACTAGCGATATAGCTATTAGTTGATTTTTAAATACAAGTTAGGAATTAAAGTGTAGTGGCACGCCTCAAAACATGGGATTTGTTTTTAAATTTTATTCTGTAGGGGGATCACTGACTACAACACTGGTAATAGGTTACTTCGATAAACTTTGAAAAGTTGGGAGACCAGCAAACCAGATGTAAATTCAGATGTTTTTTTCTGTTGATTGAACCAACCAAATAAAACGGAAATACAAAATATCTCATTATATATCTTTGCAAAGTGACGTTGCGCAATCCCGAGTTGCTTCGGCAAACATTTTTGAATGAATGTACAAATCAAATCTGAATGTATATCATATCGAGCTGATGACAGTTTGTCGAGAACTTCCATTTTTGCTTCAAATTGTCGTGCTGTTTGTGTTCCTAGAATCAAAACCAATACGGGCTGTTGTTGGGATGAAAAAATTCCAAATCAACGTTTCATGTGCGTCAGTTACTTCTGATTGTACACTGATAAGGTGAAACGATCATCAGACAAACATCAGCTAGAGGGAATATATGAAAGATCAAGGACCTATTAACCTTAACTAACAGGAAACCATTAGTTGAAACCACACCTTGCGATGGAATTGAGGTTACAAAATTTCTTGCGTTTGTCATTCAAACAGCATTCAGTTCAGTCAAATGAATAAAGAAAGTTTGACACAGGCAATCAGAAGATGCTCCAGGAAAAAGTTTCAGTCAATTTTGTTGTCAAGTTGAGTTAAAATGTATACCGCTGAATAGCAAATACTACAAGTATTGTACTCAATGCGTTATTTGCCTAAATGTCAAGCATTAGGAATGAGAAATCTTCGATGAAAATTTAGAATATAAATAGTCAAAGCTTTATCAATACGCATGTGAGTGCATTGTATAAAATGATAATGTAAAAACCTTTCGGTCAAGATATTCCTGTCCCACTATTAACTGAAGCTTACGTTGAGAAAAGAGTTCTTTGGGAAAAGTTGTTTTCCACAGCAAAACGTAATCGTGTAATCGCGGTTTTATAAGTTATTACCGATATACATTAATGAAGGTGGCGCAAAATATTCAAACGTTGTTTATATATATATATTTTCATATTCGCTTTGATCAGCCTCAGCACATTGTCAAAGGAAGAAAAAAATTCTATTTTGGGCACTCAGCCAAAGCGCAATTTTGTATACCGGTATTTTAAAAAGTTGACTTCAGCTGCAGAAATATTAAATATCAATAACATCTAATTGTTGTTGGTGTTTTTTTAGTTTTATAAGCAAAATCCAAAAGATATAAAAACAGTAAATAGCTCTGCATCATGTTAATGTTCAAAACACTGAGTCTGCTTTTACTTGTTAGCTGGTCAAATGCATTTGATGATACTCCAGCTTGTACGCAAATTGAAAACTTATTTCAAACACTTTGTGCCCGAAACGAGGCACATACATCAATCGGAACTGATACAACTCAAGGTTCTCCGGGAAAGAAAGGACCAGTTGGAGAAAAGGGTGAAATAGGGCGACCTGGACCCGTCGGACCTCCGGCTATCGTGGATTACGAACGCATCGAATCTGAAATAGACGAGAAAATTGCGCCAGGTAAAATGATTCTTTTCAGTCGGCGGTACGACTGAAAGCATTGACGATCACGAAAGACACTGATTTTATGGTCGAATGTAAAAACTCGACTCTTCGAAAAAACCTAACTGGATTAAAAAGTCTGACTATTTTCTTGAATATTATCATAATGTTGCAATACGTGAAGCAATTTCAAATCATTTTTATAATTTGTTGGCTTCATCTCGTTGAAAAATTCTTACATTCGTTTCAGTTATCAGTCAATCGACTGCGAACATCAACACCCTCACCTCTGTGATAGAAAAATTAGAGGAACGAATAAAGATTCTGGAAAGCAGACAAGGTATGAAAATAAACACAACAGCAATCTTTAAAACTAATATCGAGCTCTGTTTATGTAGACTTCGCTCAATGAAGAAGAGTTCAGTCAAATATTTTATCCTGGACAATTCGGAAATAGTAAACGTGAATTATTTCCCCTAAGCTTATGTCCGCTTCTCCGCCGACAATCGATTTACGTTAATTAACCCATGCATTTTCCTATATTATTCAGGAGCGTGTGAAATAAAGTTCGATGGAAAATGCTACTGGGTGGAGAGACTTGATCATTTTGTGGCTGGCTATGATAGATTGGCTAGAATATGTGCGGAACGTAATGGCTCACCAGCAAATATTTATTCCGAGAAACATTACAATACCATCATGCGATTCCTTCGAGCAAAAATACTGGCAAAGAGGGATTGGATTGCCATGTGGGTGGGAATGCGAACAAACCCAACTGTAAATATATTTTAAATTTTTTTTATATAATTGAAATTTGAAAAAATGTTGCTTGTATTTGTAACAAATTTTTACATTTCTCGACAAAAAAAAGAAGACAACGTGCGTTGCGCATAAGATCCACATTTTGTAGGTTCTTCGTGACTTGATTATCGTTTTCTGTTTGAGTCATATAAAACGAGCGTTTAAACTTGAACCGAAAATATCGATTTAATAATTTCTAATCATATTGCAGGCATATCCAGGACCCCAAATATACACTAGATAAAATCTTTCACAATTTCGCTAGCCGCTAGTTCTATGTCATGAAGTGACAACAAATAGCTTTGTTACAGGAAACAATGTTTTATTTCCTTTACAGACTGGAATCGTGACACTTTCCGATGGAAGTCGAGCTCGATTCATGAAATGGTATCCTGGATATCCCTCCAAAGATTCTGCTTATACGCACATGACGATTGTTCAAAGAGTTCCATCAAGTTCTGCCAACATTGGTATCCACAACTGGCCACCAACGTCTACTCGAGATGGCGTATTATGTGAATTATAGAGCAATAACAATGCTTTGGATAATTTTCTTGACATGGAAATACTTTGTATTTTAATCTAATTCACGAACGCTAGACACAGTAAACGATTAAAGCAATGTTTTTTAAACTAATACTTCAGGAACCTTATTGGAATGGTTTATGAAATACATTCAAATATATTAAAATAATCGATTCTATTTTTCTTCAGCAGTTTAGAAAAATATTACACAGTCAATCGCAGACTGCTGCAGTGATTGCTTCTAAATATCAAATAATAATTATGGTTGCTACTAGTTTGCATAAAAATAAATCAATCTTTCAAGCCATATTAAAATATCACAAGAGAGGGAGACTTTAATATCACAAATTTGAATAAACAGTAAAATTATTCAATAATTGATTGGTTGATCATCATTTGTGAGGGTCGGTATATGCAGGGCAGGTAAGGTCCCCGCGGCCCCGCGTATGATGTATCGAAGTAATCATTCAAAAGTAGCATCAGCGATCAAAATCGGAAGAAATAGAAATAAGAATAGCAATTTAATATTTTAAAATTATTACTGCAAGTCGTGATGTGATGTTAATAGGACGTTGAAGTTTATGAGTCCCGATAGGTCCAGGTAATTAAGACAATTATCAAGAATTTTCCAATTACTTATAATAGGTTAATTGAGTTTTATGATTTAAATATTTCGTGGACAAATACTGGTGCAAATGCCATGAAACTTTATTTCTCGAACTTGAATCGGCTCTGCGGAAGACTTCATTGCTGAGCCCTAACTAAGAAGGTTATATGGTGAACCCGGGTTAAATAAACTAAAATATATTAATTCGAGTAGTTAGAGTTCAAAATGTGCCTTAATCTGTAAAATATTGCAAGGGTTTGCAATAATTTATTAGACAATATAGCGCACATCACAAAAGAGACTCTATATACCGATTTAGTACACCATTGAAGATTAATATTCATATATTTATTTTTACAGTTTTGACTTCTGTTCCACAAGGGACAAATACATTGTGACCCAAAAAACAGAACCAATAAATTTATTGATCACTTCTACAGAAATGAAAATTTTTTTATTTATTTTGTTTACACTTGAACTTCTGCTTGTGCATGATTGTACCCAAAAGTTGCGCAAAATTGGTAATCACTAATACGCGCTCAGGACGGGCCGGATACAATGAATCTTTTAATATCACCGTGTCATTTTCACCTTCAAACCAATACGGAACAGGTATTCAATGTCTGGAATGCCTACCCAAGCTAAACTAAGTAAACGATCGACAATATTGCGCAACGGATACAAGTTTGTCTCCCCTGCACAGGACAGCAGTTCCCAAAATTTTTGTTCGTGTGGCGCCAAATTATCGGGGGAAAACGGCCCACTTAAGCTACACACCTGCAGGTTTCCTTTTATTCATATTATAAATGATATAATCAGCTGATCAAATCAGTTCAAATAATAGAAACCTGAATGAATTTAAAATCAATCGTATATAAACGGTTTGAATAAATAGACTTTACGTCAATATTGTTTGAAAAAGGTCACCTGGTAAAATAGTTAAACTACTTCAAACTCTAATTCCATTCCCAAGCCTATTTTTAATATCATTTAGCTGTTCCAAAAAATTTTTACGGCGTTTAAAATGATATTTCGTGGTCAGACTGGCTGGTGCTAATATATATATAAGGTCAAATCTAACACACGTGATGTCTGCCTTTAATGTTGATCTCGGACGTTACCTGGTTAGGCGACGTATGGCGGTAGATCTCACGCCATAGTAACACCGACTTGCTTTTTGTTAAATTGTTTCAATTATTTGCAATTTTAATACATACAGTATGTGGGGAACTACGACTATATACATGTACCGAACATAAAAGAGCACGTTGGCAGGGAAGTGTACATATGGACCCATATGGGTGAATGCACAAAGAAGTAGTTCTTATCAGGCGCATTTGAACAAACGATGTGAGTTAAAATTGGAACAGTACAGACATATGTTAATCACAATTGAGAAGATTCAGTCAAATATTCATAACTATACAAGTTGACGAACCGTGGTAAAATAGATCGTTTGCAAATTAAACTAAACATTCTCAAATTAACTAAACCTTTATACTGTTAATGGCTCTGTTTCTCGACTGTGCGTCTATATTTGTACTATATACTGTACAATTAATAATTACTCTGTTTTTGTTATTTTATCATTTATACGACATTGCGCCATAGTTGTACTTAAATATTCTAACCGAATTTCCGTGCAAGCTGGATGTGATAAATGTTTTCATGAGCATCGACTTCCTTGTTTACATCGTGACACTGGCCAATCAGCGAGATGCAAAAGTGACATAACAATATCCAATTTCGCATTCGCTCAGACACTTTTCTCACTCAACCAGATTTTCAGGCGTGGTCGTAAACATTACCTCGTTTTCACGTTTTTGAATTCTATTCGTTAGTTTTCAGTTGTGTTTCGGAAATTTAAATATAAATCGAATAATTTGATGATCACTTTGTCTTCTTAGGAGTTTCAGTTTAATTGCAGTAATCAAAAATTAGTAGAGAAATAGCTGTGATAGACTGGGCTAAAATTCTTTAGCGGTACTTTTGAAAAACAGATTGTTAAATGCTGAGAATTAGAATAATGGTTTGAAACAAATACCCCATTTTACAGGCGCCAACTCGCGAAATCATGAGAGAGAGAGAGAGTTTATTTTTATTAGTCAAACCATGAAACACGCAATACATGCATAAATATATGAACAATATTAAATAAACAGATGCTTTGGTATATGACTTGGAGGCAACGATACGACCTTTTGGGGTCATCAGAGTCTGTCCACCCATACAATTATATTATTAGTAATAAATTAATTCAACAGGTACGGTTTAAGTTGATTCAATATCTCTCGTTTATTCATTATATACACTATTTACCAGACTTTCTTATTTTTGAAAATAAGAAATTTTGTGTTGAAAAATACTGTTTTGTAGTAAGATATGCTATTCATCATATATTTATCTAAAAGATTGTTATATATTGCATAGTATCCAACTACATAAAATTATGCAGAATATAGAAATGCTTGAAGTGAAATTGGTTAGCAACGATACCAAATATCTTAACATGCTTAAAATGAGCACCGAAAATTTTTCAATGATAAACTATACACAATTTTCATGGGCCAAAGGTCAGGTAAAGGTCCGTGATCTCAATGTCTGTGATGGATGTTTCCCCGACCCTGAAGAATTCTTATTATACTCATTGAGGTGTATAATCCTGGACCTTTCTCCGACCTTTGACCCCCGAAAAAATCTCTCTTTACTCTACCATTGCAAAATTCTCGGGGCTATTTTAAGAGTGCTTTTGCGAGTTGGCCCTTGTAAAATGGGGTATGTGTTTCAAACCATCATCATGATTTATCGCATACAACAATCTGTTTTTTTAAAACACCGGTAAAGAATTTTAGCCTAGTCTATCGCAGCTATTTTTACACTAATTTTTTATTACTGCAATTTAATTAAAAAAAAAAGGAAAAGGGGGATCATTGAATTATGAGATTTATATTCAAGTTTCCGAAACACAACAGAAAACTAACGAATAAAGTTCAAAAACGCGAAAACGAGGTAATGTTCACGGCCACGCTTGAAAATTTGTCTGAGTGAGAAAAGTGTCTGAGACTGAGTGGAAGCGAAAAGGGAGCATTGTTACGTCACTTTTGCATCTTGCTGATTAACCAATGTCCCAAAATAAACAAGGAAGTCGATGCTCGGGGAAAGGTTCGTACTTCACCATTCTGCCATTGCAAAATTTTTGAGACTGCAGTGATTCAGATTCAGATAGGCCTATTTATTTTTCGTCATGCACTGATCAATATAAAGCAAAAGAAAAACATACCGGTAGTAAATTAAAAACGGAGCAACATTGATTCACAGCAGTTAATTACGGTAACATGGTATCACGAAAGACTCACAGACTCAGTGAGTCATACAGTCAGCGACACTCAATGCTGTATTACTGGTATAGCAGCAAATATGAAGCAATCTGATAAAAAAGTTATCTCTATTTATATTATTTAGTTATCTCTAAATTACACAATCATGGGAAAACATCGCAACAACAAATTGAATTACAAAATTAAGTCAGACAACAGCAAAATTTGGTTGGAGTGAAATTCTGTAACGTTTAAAAATCATAACCCAAGTATAAATGTTATTATGAAATTGGGAACCCACTTATAACAAGAAGAAATAAATATAGAAAAAGCGAGGAAGGAATTTAGTTGTATAAAAGAACTTGCCATGATATGTAATAACTTGTGACTGATTATAAATATTGTTTTTTCATGCAAAATAATTATAAATAAACTACGTAATTTGTATTACTAAATCGATTACGGATTTATCCTGATGTTTCTAATGTCTGAATGTATATGTTTGTTCACTTTTTGTACACAATACTCAATGTGTCTTTATTAATTGGCTAATTATTTTATTTACTTATTGAACAATCCAACCATTAAAAAAGTTGCTTAAACCCTTTGTGAAAGCATGAAGTCAGGAAGTGGACATAGACAAACATGATCAGGATTACCAAAGCTTGTTGCTTTGGTTTTCAAGAAAACCTGTTTATATTTTTAGATGATAAATATACGCTAATATCTTTTTTCTATGAAAGTATCTGTAGTATTGACATATATTTATTGATTTTGAGCCACAAACTGCTTCTTAGGCAGTTAGGCAACACACACTCTGACACCACTGCACCAGGACACTGTAAAAAATGGAGATTAGTGACACTGCCGAGGCGGCTGAATCTGAAGCACAAGCTAAGGCAATCCAGCAAGTTGCCAGCATGCTTCTTCGACCTGACCAGTTGGATAAAGTTGATCAATACAGACGAAGAACTGCAAGAAAAAAGGTTGAAAAATAAAATTTTCCTCTTACTAATTTATATATATATATGCATTTTGGTCTTCTTTTGATCAGTGTCTCACATTTTAAAATTGATTTAAAAGGTATTGCCCGATTTTACATAGTGTCTTTATGTTATTGTGTTCTTTTGACTGTTTTTGGACTGTGGACGAGCACATACTTGTACGTTTTTAACTTTTTTATTAAGTTATGTCTGTGTCCGTTCTCCAGGTCCTCTGCATTTTGTTTGTTCGTTTGTTGTTGTTTTGTTTCTTTCAGAGTGACCAAAATAAAATTGTTGAAATTGAATAAAAACTGAAATTGTAGTAATCTCAATTTTTAGGCATCGTTTGAGGCAAGATTAAAAGCAGCTGTCCAATCCCAATTAGATGGAGTGAAAGCAGGACTTTCACAATTAACAGAAGCATTAGAGGAAGTTAAAAATGTGAAAAAGAAAATGACTGAAGTTGATGAAATGTATTTGTCTTGTGGAACATTAAGCGATAAAATGAGGTTTGTTTGATTTCAATTGTTTATATGAGTTTACCTCGGCGGTGTGGCGCATCACGCTAAACGCTAGGAATACGCTCGCAATCACATCTCTGATTACCCTGCATGGGTTCGAATCCCATGCGAGGTTAATAATGTGCGAGAGGATTGCTGGACTTCTCGCAGTCGTAGGGTGGTTCATGTAACTACTGGTCGGTTACGGCTTTCTCCACAATCAAGTCCATGCATCTGAAAACAAATAACTGGCAAACTAATCCCATACCGGACATGGACTGCTAACCGGACGAGAGGTCGTGGTTCTCCATATGATTAATCCGTGATATCGGATTTCTTCTCCCCTAGGATAATTATGTAAATCCTATCCACTATGAATTGAGCAGATGCTGTGTGTTTGCAATACCAATTAGTTGTATTTTACTGTTCATTTTCATTCTATTTTCCCACATTTTCACAAATATATTTATGTATTTTTTGAGTAGCTATTATCACTGTTATTTGTAAATGTAGCTGAGGAGCTAGTTCACTGGTAGACTTTCAACCTCACATTAGTTAGCCAGGAAGGGCGACTACCATGACCACCTTGAACCCTACATACTTTCGCTGACTTTTTTCATTCTAATTTATCTGTATTATCAGTTCTATAAGTACTTTGTTATTACCACGCTACCTATCTTGATACTGAAAATTCTATTTTGTATGGTGTGCTCTTCACTTAATTTTTATATGCGAACTTCCTATATATTTGTTGCGATGGCCTTGGGGTTCAAGGGTTAGACTTATAATTGTGTTTGTATCACCGGTTACACATTTCTGGTTTTATTAAACTCACGTCCACAAACTGGTCAATATAATGAATTGTGATTCTGGTTCCTTCGCAAAATAATAGCTTCTCACTCAGTGGCGATAACCCGACACCCTGAAAATGACCCTAAAACGGTGATTTTATAAAAATTCGCATATAAGCCCACCCTACAAATCGTACGCTCTCATCGTGAGAATTAAGTTAACATAATGTCATTTCGTTTGAGTGCAGTCAGAACTATGTGTGTATAAGCCAAATTTTTAGTGCGATCGGAGTTATGTGTGTATAAGCTGACCCCTTTGTTTGGTAACTTTTTTATTTGAGTTTTGAACTCATCTATATGCGAGGATATACGATAATTGCAATTTTCATTCAGTTCCTGGCTGTAATTGATTTTTCTAACTTCAGAGATATTAAAGATGTCAGTGCACAACATCGTCAACTTGCTGCTGCAATGGAAAATTTAAAACATATCTTTGCTGTTCCTGAAGAAGTTGAAAAAGCCAGAGTGATGATCAAAAATGGAGATTTATTGGAAGTATGTTTATGCATTGAAAGCCTATTTGTTAGAAATTAATACGAATCAGCCATTCCCAGTGTACTATTAGCTATATTTCTTTTAAAGTAGCCTATACTACTCATAATTTGTTCCTAACAGCCAAACCTAAAAACGAACATAAGGTGGAAATCACAACTAAGTACAGGTACGGCCTTGAAATAAGCTCAAAAGATTGCCCCTGATTGATAATGACAGTAGGTCAAAAAAGTTTACTCCGTGAAAAGCTGCCTTTATTTTACTGTTGTTGTCAGTGTTCTTCGATAAATCCCTATATAGCCTAGCCTCATAGCGGAAGAAAAATTGAATTTTATACTTGCTTAATCGGAAGTCGAAATATTTCATATTTTTTGCTCTTTTCGTTTCATGCTGCTGTTCAATTTGTATACATTTGATTTATTTTTCCAGGCCCATAAATCTCTCACTGATCTGGAAACATCTCGTGATGATTTGTTATATGAACAACACAAGCTGGAAAACAGGAGTACAGCAGATATGAAACAACTTCAGAGATTTTTTGCGGAAGCTGAGACATTATCTGTAATCTTTTTACCTATTCTTCATTTTCATATTGCAGAGAGAAATTGTAAAATGTCATGTATTGGATATTAGAGTACAATGGCTCTCTAGAACAGTGGTTTTCAATCATTTTAGGCAGGCAAATTTAGATTCACGCCCCCTCAAAATTTTTTTTTCGAAAGTCCATTTTTAATATTATTGCAATTCTTTGAATTGTTTATAATTTATAATTCATTTCTCTTGTATGATTTTTTACTTTTTATGAACGTTTCATGAAATTTTAAGGTACTTCCATATTTAAATTAAATAAATATTCTGTGTTTAGAATGAATTAGGAAATACATTGTGGAAAATTCTTCAAAATGCAATGACTATTGTGAAAAAAGATACAGGAGATATTGTTACTGTTCTCAGAATTATAGAAAGAGAACACAGGCACGTATTATTGAAATTTATAGCTTGAACTGTTTAATATATTTTTAATGGTACAATATGATTTATTAAGCATGATAATGTATTAGATGTGAGTGCTCCCGAAGTTTGTGCACCATCAGAACATAGTATGTGTACCAGGTTGAAGTTATCAGGTTGTGTGCCATCTTGGTGCACAATTGCACATACTTGTGGAGCGCCCAGATGTGATGTAATCAAGGCCATACGCATTTCTTTTTCGATAAGTTTTCATTTCGTTTAGGTTCTAGATTGTTTCGAGTTGTTGAGACACTGCTCTCAAATGCACGAACAGCATTTTGAGCATATATGAGTGTGTAACATAACATATGCAAAAAAAAAAACTTGTATTTTTTTTATTTTTTCATATGTTATTATGATTTTTTATTATTTGGAGATAAGCGCAGTCTATACTTGCCTGGCCATCAGATATAAAATGCTTGAAATGACAAATTTTTTAAATAAATTATTTCTAAAATTCAGAGTTCTGTGTATCAAATACAGTATAAGCCAGTGGTTCCCAAACTTTTTTGACCATCGCCCCCCTGCACTATAAAAAAAATGTAAAGTCAGAAACGAATATATTACAGACCAAAAAAGAAGACAAATCATAGTTTATAGAGTTTTTAATGAGATGGCTGAGCTTGGTGTTCTTCAGCGAGTTTTTTATTATATCTAAAATTACCCCGTTTGCTGATAGAAAGGCGATTACGTTGTTTTGATAGTAATTGTAGCACGGTTGAAAACCCCCTTTCTCATCATATAATAGGTCGGAAATGAGAGAATCCAGGGTTCTACCCCCTCAAAAACCGCCGTGTACGGTACTTGCGTTATAGAATTTCACTCGCTAAATTCACCCCATTTGACATTAAAATAATGAAAACAAATTTAATTTTTCCAAACTTATAATGATTATTTTTGTACATCCAATTCATTCCTACAGTACCTACTGTACCAAAAAAATACTTCGATAAAATTCATCCCCGATTCCTCATTCTACCACAATCTCCAGTCCATAGAATTATTCAGCCATTTGTTTTTGGATTTATGGACTCGGATGTGGGAGAATTCGTGACCGACAATCGGCTACGGCTCAGGGGTCGACAAATTTTATGTCGCTCGCGAAACAAAATTTAGGTTTGCTAGTTTTTGCGGGTCGCTTATATTTTTTTAAAGTTAAAAACTTAAGAGTGCGCAAAAACTGCGACAATTCGTGAATTCAACTCAGTCGTCTTATTAAAAAATTATTACAATGACATTTAATGTGACACTGTCTTGTTGCCAAGATTGGAAGATTTTCTAAATGGGCATCACGAATCCTAGTTATTTGCTTGTTCTTTGTATTGTTCATTTTCGGAAATAATTGTTCGCACAAATATTTACTTCCAAACATCGAAGTAAATATTTTCGCATGGTTTGTGAAATTTTGTTGAAGATATTCCTAAGATGAAACATTTTTACAAAAATTAAGCAGTGAAGAATCTCTCGAATAGAATATGAATTTTATTTCCTTATTGCATTGTAATATATTCGATTATTTACTGCACTCAGGCCTCAGATCAACTTTTCATTCAGGTTTCCATTTGTCTAATTATTATTAAATTGTAGGCTTGTTTAACGAGTAGCTAGCCGTTCAATAAAATTTTTAGGATATATTAACGATAATTCTGTAAAAATGTAAATTACTTCCTTGTTTACTTTGTGACATTGGCCAATCGGCAATCAGCAAGATGAAAAACTGAACGTAACAATGCCCCCTTTCGCATCCGCTCAGACGCAATCACTCATACAGACTTTCAAGCGTGGTCGTGAACATTACATCATTTTTACGATTTTTCAATTATATTTGTTAGTTTTTAGTTGTTTTTCGGAAATTTAAATATAAGTCAATGATTACGTTGTCTTCCTATGAGTTTCAGTTTAAATACAGTAATCAAAAATTATTGAAGAATAACATGTGATAGACTAGGCGAAAATTCTTTATTGGTACTTTTAAAAACAGATTGTTAAAGGTACCAACTCGCCAAACACTCTTAAACTAAGCACCAAAATGGTAAAGTATAGGAAGAATTTTTTGCGGTCAAAAGTCGGGGAAAGGTCCATTCAGTGAATCGTCCCTGGCCAGATTATTTTACTCCGGCCGTATTTTGCCGAGTGATACGCAAACTACCGTACCTTACCGCGAAGACGATTCCAGCAATCCTTTCGCGTGTGATAATCGCCCACGTGATTCAAGCCTGCGAATGCACACAGAGTACATAATTAAGTGCACGATGCGCCGAACAAAAACAGGTTTCGTGAAATCGCCCCCCCTATCGCCCCCTTTGACTTTTTCGCCCCCCTCTGTATCGTTTTCGCCCACCGGGGGCGATATCGCCCACTTTGGGAATCACTGGTATAAGCCATTTTGATTAGATCAGATTTGCATTTTCATCAAGCATCCCTAGTTATAATTTTGATACCGGCATCATTTTAGGTAGCCTGATTTTTTGTATTTTTTCATGGTTTCTTTATTAATTATTAGAGCTGATGTAAAGATGCAAGAACAAGAAAGATTCTCCGGTTTCATTCCTCCTGATCGTCCAAAACAATGGAGAGATAGAGCAATGGAAACTCTAAAAACAGCCGTTGACGACAGGTTAGTTTGTTATCGACTATAATGCTGGACTTCGACTAGTTATGGGTAACTTGGTTCGTAACCTGGGTACCCAACTTATCTTGCAGTTGCTTTATCATGTTTTACTCTTATTCATGTCTTACTTTGTTTTGTTTTTTTATGAAGGATTGAAAGTGATGTTTATGATACACGAGACACTGACAAAATGTGGTTGGTTCGACATTTGGAAATATTACGAAAATACGTTCTGAATGACTTGAGAATCGTAAAAACATTGTGCAGTCCATGTTTTCCTCCTTCATTTGATATTATGGAACGATATGTGCATTGGTATCACCTCGCCCTCGCTAATCATGTAAGTGCTCTTTTCAATTTTTAGATAAAATGCTGCTTGAGCACAGTGAGTCAATTGGCTGCATATACTGTTCTTTTATTTATGTTTTAATCCAAGTCTATTTACAGCAATTTACTTTTATCAGATGAATTTTTTTTTCAGCTCAACAAATTAATAAAAGAAGGATTACAAGGAAATGAAATAATATCGTTACTAACTTGGTTGAATGGATATACAGGTTTGTACCAGTCATTTATTGTAAATATATATTATATGTCCAGTACTAATAACATTTTGTGAAAAAATCATCATTTTAGTTTAAAATAAATATAATATTGTGTTAATTATTCGAATTAATTATTAAAAGTTTAGATATTTAGTTTTGGTTGCTCAATATTCATTAATAATCATATCGCAATGAAATCACTTCCATCAAGTTTTTTGTGGCCTGTAGGATTTCACTTTTCGGAATTAGGTTTTCCTAATGCACAGACAGTTTTTCTGTTTGTTTCATGATACCGGAGAAATTTTTCACGCAACTTTTAACGGTATTGTCAAAATTATCTATTCAATAATAATAATAATTACAAGATCCTGTACTTTTGATTATAGGACGAGAATTACTAGGACATCCTGATCTTCAACCAGAGGTGGATGTCAATAGTTTACCTCAGTTACTTGATGATGAAGTCAGCGACCAGTTGATGATGGAGTATGTTTCATTTTGTACCTAATCTAATGGATACCACGCTGCTTAATCTATTCTTTTTGCCTTTTAACATGAATTAGGTGCATTTGGAGATTTTTTTTTAATTCACTTTGATGAGCTGTACATTTAGGTAAAATCTGGGGGGCATATCCTTTGTAAAGTAATGGTTAACCATTTTTTTTTAAACGAGTGGACAATGGTGTTATTACCAATACGAACACAGGACACTGCCTTTCTATATGGTCTACTTGCAATTAATAAAAATGATTACAAAAGTTTTTTAATTAGAATAGAAGTTGAGCAAGAAAACTGCGAGGATTTTCTATTTGTGTTTAGATATTACAATGTCATTGCAATTGTTATGAACCACACTTGCCATCATATCTCTGACTATGCTGTACATGTTTGCAGGATTGAATCCTGTGAGTGATAAGTAGGATATATGTGAGAATATTGCTCGACTCCTTGCTGCCATAAAGTGATTGACATGATACAATTTCATTCATTATCAAGTCCGTGCATCTGAAACAAATAATTGGTTTATTAAAAATTCATTTTTTAAACAAAATTCTTGCGTTTTTATCTAGTTACTTCGTTACTACACAACGAAATATGTCGGAATGGACGCAAAAATCGCTCGAACAAGATTCAAAAGATTGGAGAAAAGAAGAAGAACCAGAAACAGATGCCGATGGATATTATAAAACATCTCTTCCTGTTATTTTATTCCAGATGATAAAACAAACAATGCAGGTGCTGACTTTTTTCATTCAATTATCTAACTTACTATTTATATCGGGATTTTTGAAATCATTCAAATATCCCCATGAAAATTTAACTGCTATGATAGATAGCATATCTTATTCTCAACTCTCCTTAAGCCTGACAGGAATTCTTTGCCGGGTTTTCAACGATACAAAGCTAGTATATCTATGAGGCTTGCACGTAATTTACGGGTTTATGTGATTATGGAATTCATTCACAGTTACGTCGGCAAATTTGAAATTACGTTTAGTCGTAATTATTGACTGAACGCACTCACTACAAGAAGAAAACATTTGTATGGTCGTATATCTATGAGTTGGGAAATAAGCGGAATTTACCCAGCGGTTAAACAGTGCGTCGAATTCGTTACTTGAAATTGTCAGGATTGCGGGTTACAATCAGGGGCGCAGGCAGGATTTTCAAAAGGGAGGACCCAAAATCGAAATATCTGATACCGACAACTTTTTTAACGGATAATGATTTTCTTGGTTCGCACAATATTCTATCCATGGGCGATGCCGATTAACTCAGTGATGTGCTCGAACTTTTATAACCTATGACTTGATTTAATTCGCAGCTCCAGTTTTGAGGACTTTCATACAACACTGGTCATTTTCTGGGGCTCTTGCTTTGCTAAAATAAGAACTCAAAATTCATAATTCACCAAACAAGTGAAATTAGGAATACAGTATACTTTTTAGCAGCCATTTTCAAGTATAGTGGTTGACATGGAGTATCTAAATATTCATCATTCATTGTAATTTGTGATAATAAGTAGCCTATGCAATATTTTCTAGGTCGCTGAGACAATATCTGAACTTCAGAAGAAAAAAGTATTTGATGTTTGTATCAAGGAAATGACAAAGTTTGTTAGATCATATGCAGGTAAGTTATATTTACTTATTTTTTAACAGTCTTTATCAATTCTTCTATAAAATCGATAAATAATTTTCAGAATCAGTTACAAGTTACAAAGAAGAACATTTCAAGGATCGGGAATTCCCACCCTATTATCCACTGTATATGGTCGCTATTGCGAATAATTGTGAATCTTTCATCGAGTTTGCTCAACAAATGGAGGTATTGTTACATGTTTTTGTACTTTGGTGATATTTTTAGTCAATATTTTGTATATCCTTGCATATAAACGGACTCCCAAAAAATGGCCTTAAAATGGTGAAGTTGTAATAATTCGTAAATAGCCTACAAATTGTAACACGCCATAAGCACCTATCACAGTAAATGGTTGCAGAAGAGAATTAGTGCAATTGGAGTTATTCGGGTATAAGCAACTTTTTTTAGTTCAAACTCGTCTTATATGCAAGGATATACAGTAATTTAAAATTGAATCCCTTTTAAATTACAGAAAGATTATCTTGGAAAGAAATCTGACTCTGGTCAAGGAAATGAGATAAATGAACTGTATATGATGGATGCAGATGATGGAAATCCATTTGGTTCCTCAGTTGAAAATCCTGATGAAGATGACTTGTTTCATAAGTATGTTTTGCAGGATTGATAAGCAATAAATGCTTTTTATGTATATTTTTTATTGAACACAAAGTGTACATACAGATTGTTTTGCTAATTCGTGCTGCTGTTATTGCGTTTTATTAATTGTTGTTGGTGTGTAATATTTCAAGTTTTCAAAATTTAAAGATGGAAGGAGAAAAGAGCGATTACTTTTCTTTTTTGCAAATTTTTTCAGACTTTGTTACAGGTCCCAATATTTCATCAAAAGCTTTGTTCATCTTGTCCGCCAATCCTTTCAGCAAACTAAGTTGGCTCTCGGGCATTACTGCGCTGATGCATAATTACATGTCCATATATTTGCGCATTACTCTCTTGTTTTATTACAGGTTTCGTATAGAAATGGATCGAGTTGCGGAAGCTACTTGTGGTTATCTTCTTGATGAGGTTTTCATGGATTTGAAGGTAGGTACACATACACAAGTAAATTTATACCTTATTGACTAAATTAATGATAAACAAATATGAGCTAACTTCAGCAAAAAATCAGAAAAAAATTGATAGCTAATGTTTTTAAGAATATGAAACACTTAGATTGGTTAAATTTACATGTTACATAGCTCTTATAATTCCATACATCTTTAAAACAATCACTCCTGATATGTCTGCTTCTAAAATTTAATTAATGGGAGTGAAACTGTGAAATAAAAATATGGATTTTGTGATTTCTTACTGAAATTTGATTTATTTCTACTCCTAATACTCTTGTTGAATATTTCAACTATGTGTCAAAATCGAAATATTTTCTCGAGCGAAAGAAAGTCAAGTTTTAAGCGATTCAAATGGTTTACTCTGCAATTTTATTTTAATTTATAGTTTGCATCCTTTCCTTTGAACAAGGCTTTGCACAATCAGATACGAGGAGTTGCTAGACCAGAATTATCGGTTCAATAATAATCGATACCCAATTTATTTCACGCTGGGTGGCAGGTATGCGATTGGAATCAGGTGTTTCAACCTGTGATAGTCTAACGCTTTAATCACTAGGACACAGCACCCACTATGTTACTGATAAAAATTAATTTACGACACTTTGTAACTTATTCCAGATTCACTGCGACAATCTACTCACAAAACAATGGTTGACAGATGAAAGCATTGTTGAAACAGTTTGTGTTACGATTGAAGATTATTATAATGATTTTGTTCATCTAAGACCCAGATATTTTTCATGGATAATGAAGGAAGCTGAAAGAAGAGTAGTTGTTGAATACTTAAAGGGAGCTTTAGGAAGGTGGGTTGGTAAAAATTTTGTCAACATACAAAAGGCAGATAACTTTCAGAACATAGAAAAAATGGCTCTTAAACTTTCATGATCGAAATACCAGAACAAAATAATAATAATTGATAATAATTGAACTTCACTTCATTAGGGATTTTCTCTGCATCTATTGCGTATATCTATTCCGATTGCACCATAAGTATATGTAATAAATGAAGCCTTGTCTTCTATTGCATCGTGCATTTTTGATAAACGTATCACGACACTTGAGACTGTGTGGGTCGAAACGCATGTAAGCCAAGATTCCCAACTCTTCGTGGCTCTCTAATATACCGGTAATAAGAAAAAAATGTTTATGTTTTTTTCATGTATTACATTTTAATAATAAGATCCAATATACGAAAATTACAGTCAAGGAATTAAATCCTGTTGCTCGTGGCACCTAGAGAATTGTTCTGTCGCTCTTTTATGGCCCCAAGGACCCAGTTTGAGAAAAGCTGACATAAATTATGTTGTTTTTGTTGTCTCAGGCGAGTAAAATTGGGAAACAACGATGAACGAAAGAAAGCTGGTGAGAAATTATCAAAAGAACAGGAACTACTAAGTGCATTCTTCGGTAGATTATCGTCATCACGAGTTAGTTCGTTTTTTGTGTATATCGGTAGTTTCTGTGTTTGTGTATTTCATGTTTATATCTATTTTTTTCAGTTTCGATCTCCATGCGAAGCTCTCATTCCTATTGCAGAAGTTATTAAACTACAGGATAAAAGCATGATGCCACTGGAATTATCAGTAAGTGAATTTTATTTACTTATTTTATTTTTGAGGCTTATTTACTTTTTTGGGCTAAAATGACTTTTCTCATTTACTACTGGACCAGTTGCTTTCAACTTTTTAGTAGTTTAAGATAGGAATGTCTTCCTCGAGGATTTTTAATTTTGTCTAAACTACATTGGGGCTGATCGTTTTGCCCCAAGTTACTTTTGAATAAAATTTGCATCATATCAGTTTCTGTTGATTTCAGCGATCCCGTAATAAACAAATACTGTATAATGAAGGTCATATGTTTTTTTTTGTAAAATATTATGTCCTTGTTTCTTCTACTTATAAAAAAAAATTGCATTAGGGTATGAATTTCTGGTGATTTTAGGGATCCCGCGGTAGGGAAACATCGTATTATAAAGGTAATTTCTATATACGCTTCTGTTTTTTTTTTCTATCCATTCTATAATCTTTTACAATTCTCATTTTTACCAGGGCTTAGTGACCAAATACCGAGATGCAAGTGTTGATCAGTTGAAAGCACTTTTAGCCATTCGTGGTGATTTTTCAGCAAACGAAGCCAAAGAGGTAATTCTGATAATACTTTTTGCTTGGTTATCGTTTGTTTGCCAGACTCCATTGTTTTGGTTGCATTTTTTAAGTTCATGCATGTTCTACTTTTCTGAAATTCATTTCATTTGTTCTGCTTGTTATTTGCTTGTTGCTTTATCAGCTTGCTGATGAAATGTCGAAAGAAATCGGTGATAATGATTTTGAAACTGACGATCTTCGACTTTTTGCTGACGTAACGGAGGCACCACCTACTGGATTTTTCAAGAATTAAATCAGCCAAGGTTCTGTGTATTGTTTATTTATCGAATGTTCTGTGAATCATTGTACTGCAATTTAATTTTATGATCTATTGTTTCAAAACTATTGTGTTGAAATGATTTTAAGCTTGTTTTGATATCCTACGCTTCAAAAAAACACTGTTTTGTTCAAATTTCGAATTTTTGCATATTTTCAATATTTATTTGTGTTTTCTCATTTCAACTTATTACTTTGAGATTTGGTTGTTGTCTAACGATGTTGTCATACTCCTTCAACCATAAATACTTCACATTCGAAGATTCCAGAATAATTATCTTATTCGGAGCTTGGTGGAATCTTTCAAGATTCTTGACAGTTTTCTAGACCAGTTGTTCTCAAATTTTTATGATCTGTTGTCGCTTCCAAATGCTCTCAACACCTTTGCCCTCTGCTCTTTTATAAAATTATCTAGTTCGGCATTTACTATGTTTACATCAGGTATTTATGCCCCATGTTCATTGTTCAAGAATAAAAAAAACCAACAAATGCATCGCAGCACTTGAAATCAGACAAAACGTAGTCAAGACTTGATGTTGAAGTTATGCCCAATGCTACCTAGTTGAGCATCTATCGGAAAACAGCTACGAGCCCCTGCCCCTTGGCAGCAAAGACCCAGATCCCAAAGCTAGACCTTCAAAGTTGTTGATTCTATATGTAACTGTTTGTGCATATTTTTATCAACAAACTTGCTTGTTAGCTTGTTGGAAACAATAGCAAGTTCTTGTGTTTATTATACTTTTTTCATTCGTCGTCATATTTTACAGATATGTGAAGAAGCCATATTAACATCTTTAAAAGGCAACCAACCAATGTCGAAATTCACTCCATTCAGTGAGGTATCGAAACAACAGACTATAGAAGTTCCAGCTTATAAACCAGTAACAAACACTGCATCTGGCTTGTTAGCTAGATTAACGCAATGATCGGTTGCTTTGCGACGGATTGGTAAAATCAACCAGCAATGGGTTTAATCTGGTGGTTGCCGATTTGTGTATTTGCTTTGCATAATATGATTTCATTCATCATACAGTTATTCATTTAGTCGCATTTAGAACCTGTCATTATATGAGAGAATTATGATTGGAGATGGGAAAATTCGTACGCTGCATTGCCATTTCATTTATGTGCATGCTATTTTCACTTACCAATAATTATGTCTAAATATGTTTAACAATCATAGCCTGGACCCCATATAACTCTGATATGTATGTCTGTTGATATTTGCGTATAACAAGGAAGACACTTAGGAGTAGCGTTTTTCTTTCTATCAATGTTTTATATATTATGTTTCACGTTAATCAATACTGTCAGTGTCACCTATATAGAGATTTATAATAAATTTATTCAAGTAATATGTTCTGCTGTGTTGGTTTTTCTTAACAACGGTTCCCAGGAAGAAAAAAAATTGCGATATCCTGACTAATTCAGTCTCTGCTGTGATATTGTTAATATGATCTGCTCTTAGCCTCTTACACCAAACCACAGCCCAGGCCAAGCTAATAAGTGTGACTGTCTCAACGTTTAACTACGTCAGGGCCCAATTCTGGATAAAGATGAGGATAATATCAAAAATATAAGATTTTGTAACAGGAGAGTTTAGGCAATGAACAGCTGACCCATATATGGTAAGTCGTAATGGTTATGTTTTTGATTACTTACACCTAGAAGACTAAGCAAGGGTCACATAGTTGTTTAGTGGCCGGGCTGTATTATAAATGTAGGCCACATTGCAACAAGGAGGAAAAGATAAGACGGCTTCTGTCCAGTTACCGGTCCAGGTCGGGTATGGGATTAGTTAGCCAGTCATTTGTTTTTGAAAGCATGGACTTGATGGTGCAGGAAACTAACCGAACAGCGATCACGCTACGATACCCGATGCTGAAACAATGTTCTTTTCTATCTCAAATATAAACTAACACTGCCCATTTTATAAACAGCTGAAGCTAATTCAGCTGAAGACAATTAGCTTATCAAATGACAAATTTGCAAAGAAAAAAATATATTGAAAGTCCTAAAACACACACATTTGAAAAAAAATGTCAGCATTCAAAAAAAAAATAATAATGTAAAGCGTAAAAACACCAAATGTTGCCACAATAACTATACCAAGGGCAGTTTATATTACAGATTTCGGCTTCAACATAATCTAACAATAATAAGAATACTAAAATTCTATTGAGCAGGCAAAATAATGAAATTGCAATGAAATATATATAAACTAGCAGCAGTCATCTAGCAGATTGAAAAAAATTGCAATTAAGAGCAGACTTAGGAATTTATATTGCTCTGGTACATACTTGACGAGGAATATGTATTTTGCTGAGACTACCTAAAAAGCAAAGTTACAATTTCGATTTTTTTATGAAGTTAATTCTCACTATATCTTAACTAGGTTTGTTCGCTTTTAATCCATGTTTATTTTTTAATTCATTCAATACACGAGCCAACAACTCAAATATGGTATTAATAAATTAATTCTTGTTAATCCAATATGATGTGTTATTCTTAATATATTATCTATTCCATATTGCAAATATACGCAGAACATATAATGCTCTAAGTGAAATAACTACAAGCTCAAAAATTTTAAGGGAATTATCAAGAAATACTTATGAGAATGGATTGACTGTCAGCACACATCAGGCAAAGCAAAATATGAATTTCTAATAGAAAGACTCATTAAATCCTATTGAAAGCATTTGTTAACTTACAATACGCCAATTACAGCAGCAGTTCTAAATTAAATTATACTGAACATATATATATGAATTTTCGAAGCACTGATGTCATCAGACACTTATCTGGTAGAAGAAAAACCGTAAAATAAAAACAAAATCATGCTTATTCATGAATAAGAATTTATCTTTTTTTCGTATGATATATCTACTATAGACTAAGGTAGTTCATGTTTTGGAAATATTAGAAGAATATATAGGAGAGGTTACAGCCTGTGTAGGTTCCATAAGTTGGATTGAAGACCACACAATAAAATAAAATAAGGATTTTTAATCAATGCAGTGGCACAAATATATAGGAAATACAGCTGTTAGGTTATTATGCTGGATTGAATAGCATTATCGATTGATTGATTTTAGATGGAGATTTAGTGGGTTCGTGCAAACCCATTTCTTGGAATGAAGACATTGATAATAATCAGCGAATTCATTCCTGTTTTTGTCATTCGATGGCAATTGGGTAACATGCATCGTGGCTGATGACTCGTGTTATTTTTGGCATTCCGAAAATTATGTATTAGATTTATGTAAAGCGTGTCATGTAAATTTAGCTTACGTAGTGACATAATTACTTTTTCTAACATTAGAGAACCTGTTGTTAGTGCTTTCAATGCAAGAGAACTTCCTGAAATTTTATTTCGTCTCAATTTTCTATGATTTTCAATATTTTTTTTAATAAAAAAAAAGTTTATGATGTTGTTAAATATTACAGAGTTACACTTCATACTTTGAATGAATGGTGAGTTGTTGCGAAAATCAATAAAACAGAAAATGGATTGACATAAATAACACTATTAATCAATGAAATTCACGAATTCCAATGAAAAAATTTTTCTAACGCAATTTATCAATGTGAAATAACCCAAAGTTATATTGACGACGAGTCCAAAATATAATATATTTTACCATTTACTTTGAAACGTTTTAAAATGAATGAATCAATGAACTAAATTGTTGGAGCTGGCAAAACAGAAAATAAAAACTAAGAATAAATTGTGATGACTTCGCGTCCTCCTCCACGAACCATCAGAACACGCTCTAGTCCTTCTGTAAGTACCTCCAAGAATTCCATATCTGAAATGAATGAAAATCATACATAAAATAGATCAATTTAATAAGTTTTCAAATAAGGGTTGTATATAACCAATAACACTCAATTCATAATTTTCAGGCGGGTTATTTTCATTTCCGTGAGTATTTTTATTACTCTCAAGGTGAGGTGGGGGCATGGAAGTTTTGGGAAATGCGTAATATGCAATGCGAAAACAGGTAAGTCTATTCTTACTGCTAGATCATGACACCACCCCACAGTTGCTTACCCAATTTATTACCCACTGGGTGAAGTGGGGGCATGTTTTTTTTTGGAAGGCATTTAATCGGCAATGCAAACAGTATTAACCCTTTTTTTCCGCTGTATACAATCGACTTTATGTACCATTTTATAATATGCAATGACCAGTTAACCAAACGTACAAGGAACACCCCCAATATCTCTTTAAAAAGCTTATTTTCGCGTCTTCCTACTAAAACGCGCCCAAATGACGTAGGCGAAACCGTTCGACCCTACGCGTGTAAGAAGAGAGAAATTTCAAAAAATTTTGAGAGAACGTTTCACACTCTTATCGCTTCGATGAACACGTGTTACAAAGAAACGAAATTCCAAGCGCTCTTCTGAAAGAGAGTTACGTCACATTTGCAGAAAAACCAGACTCAGCTTCGCAAGCGAAGCGAAACGCGAAATAATCAATGATATGTGAGAGCATGTCCACGATAGTCGTCTGGAATCTTTGTTTGTTTATTATGTGCGCGAAATTGTTTCCCGCTCGTTCAAATGACTTATTTTTGAAGTAATGACAAATACTTTCGTGTATCTCTAAGCTTTGAAATGCCTACACAAATAAAATTCACTTAGTAGTAAAATAAAAAATTTACAAAAAAACAAAATGTTGACAGATCAAGCACGGATCATAGTTGGATGCTCAAAATGATTTAGTTAGTGCGGAATACTTCACAAAACATGAACATAAACGTAAAATAGTCCGAAAATAACTATTATGACCAAGGATGGTAGTACGAATATATATGTCATACGGAACAAAAGAGTAGTCTAACACTCTAACTGCTCGATTATGACGCCACCCCAAAAGTGGGTTGTCAAATTCAATATGTTCGTGAAATTTATCACTGAACATCGCTTCTTATTATACCAATCTTTTAATTTTTTGAAATATCAGAAATTTCAAGTTCTTTGATTCTGATAAGAAAATCATCCGTACAGATACCAGCAAAAAATGAAATGCAGATATTACCAAACAAAAAACAAAACAAAAATCAAACCACTTACAATTAGCTTCTCTTTGTTGGTTTCCACCCCGAGGTGGGCCAGGAAGATTCAATATTACGAGTTTAGCTTGATGTGATCTGTTGACAATAACTTCATTCAATTTTACAGCAGTGTGCATCCGTCTGACATTCATTGAGTGCCTGTGCGAATGAACGTGAAATGGAATATGTTAAAATCTGAAATTGCAATTTTCTGTGAGGAATAAATAGCAAACAAAAAACGCAAAAAAATTTAAATTCCCCAACTCACGGTTTTATATCTAATAAGTTCTTTATTCCTCCTTTTTGTTTTTCTTTTTTTGGTGACGATGTTGATTGTTCATCTTCTGCGTATTGTTTTTGTGATTCAAGTAGTTTGGCAGGAGTCCAAGTCATTTCATTTCTTGCTTCCATTTCTACGCTGTCAAATCCATCATTTTGTGTTGTGTTTCGGACAGCGGTATTGCTATCTCGTAACTTGTCCATCATTGCACCGATCTTAGAGAAGAGATACAGCATTACTAACTACATACTAAGTTACATTGTGACTACTAAAAAACAGAACCCAGGTCATTTGAAACTTATTCTAGAGCATGGTTCCCAACCGACGGCTGTGGCCCCCTAAGAGGGCCACAGAGCGGTTGGAGGTTTGGGTTTTACTCTCCGTTCTTCCTAGTTACATTGCTAGGTAAGTTTATTTTACAGGGTGTTTTCATTTTGTTAAACATTTATCACTTGAACATATTGGGATTTGCAATCATAATAACACTCTAAATGCCACTGGAATGAGGTTTGAGTGCTGAAAGCCTTCGGAAGGGCGGCACGAGCCATAAAAGATTGGGAACCACTGTTTTAGAGAGAACATAACTTTTCTGCAAAGCGTCCTAAATTACTAAAACTTATGCGTACAATCATACACAAACAGTGGTTCAAGTGTTAAATAAATTTTTTCCATTTTCGTAAAGGCAATCAAGAAGGTTATGGTTTCTGTTTTTTTTTCGAGTCACCCTGTACTTCAAATGTACGTACTTCATCACATACAAATATTTTCAACAACTCGACAGCAAACTTGAATATCGAAGAATGCAATATCACAATATATGAAAACAACATGCATTGCAAAACACTAAAAATATTGTACTAATCTATAACAACAGAGCATTGTTCAAACCTATGGACACGAAGGTCATGCACCGTTACCAAGACCTGGGAGCATCAATTTTTCTGAAAAGCAATACAGAAAAAAAAATTGTTCTTATTTAATAAAAAAAAAGTTTTAGTGAAATTCAAGTCCATAGCGACCAGGAGAAATTTGAAGAAAAATTACTAATAGCCTTATAGCAACTTTCTCAATTTTTCAATTACTGCAAATTTCAAAAAACAGCATCCGTGTCTGACAATAAACCAGTAATTCTAAATCATCACACACCACACACAAAATAACTCCATTGAAACAAAATTCTATTGTCTATTCAAAAATTAATTGTAATAAAGTAATTTTTCACTTTTCTGCTATCAAAAGTTTTATGAACTATTCAATGTCCCCAGTACCCCAGGTTAAAAACAAAATATGAATATTTCTAATCTGATCAATTTCTAAAATCAACAGGCTACATTTCATATCAATAACAACACACACCTCAAAAATTTACTAATGCCATATTTTAGGAAGCCCAAATTTTTTTATTATATTTCCAGGGTGTAATTAATTCTTGCAGGCAGCATCAGAATGATTTATCGAACAAGAATGATTTTAACTGTAAGCTCAAATGGAGTGAAAAAAATCTTTTTTATTTAAATTTTAATATGAATACTCCAGCTCTTACAAACTGATGAAATAATTTTGTAAAACAGGTTTATTCAATATTACACCGAACAATTTACAATGTACAATTCAATACAACAATAGACAATGGATAAAAAACACAACTCAGGTAGACAAGTAGGTATGAAAAGGAGTGTTAAACGTTTGCACAAATTTCAATTGATATGTCACTGTAGTGTTGACATCTTGCCAATTAACAATGTTTCGGAAATAACCAAAGAAGACGATGATCGGGGAAAGATCTATAGCCTGACTAAGATATTGCCTAATTCTCAAACTGTCATTTCATAAGAAATCTACAAAACATGCTTGTCAAATGTAATCAAACTGTAAACAAAATAAATGATTTTGGTTAGAATAAGTAATAACACCCTAAAATAAGTACAAAAAAGTTACAAAATGCAAAATTCACAACAACAAAAAATTTGTTATTTTTGATCAATCACAGCAAAACAAAACAACATGCAATGCCATTCATATTGCTGATGTTTTTTCACCTCGTTTTCTTGCCCCTCAACCTCCATAACTCCGTTTTCATGATAAGTCAGAGTAGGAGCATAAGTAACTTTCTTCTTAACTTTGCCATTTGCGGAAGAATTTCCAGATTTTGGAAATGATTTTGCAGGGGAGTTTTTGGCACGGAAACTTCTAGATCTTTCAACCACCAGTTCAACCTTTGTGCATCACCGCAATATCAAACCATTTAAATCAATTTAACACTCGTTCAGAAAAACAAAAAAGTGCTCAAAACTGGCAATGCTTCAAGCAGAAAGACTTCTCAGATCAAGGTTTCCCAAAATAGCCCCCCAGCCTCCATAGGGGGCTATGGAGTGATACTCTGGGGGCCATGAGCAAAATAATCCACTAGGTACCAATCACCATTACTATATAAATTTAAAGTATTAATTTGAGGTATTTTTATAGAAGATCAGGGCAGGAGGCTAACGAATCTTCAGAAGGGGGCTACGAATCATGAACGTTTTGAGAACAACTGTCTTAGATAAAAAAAAATTGAAGCCATTTATAATTTTAAAAAGAAAACAAAAATAGAGTTTGGACAGAAATTAGCTTCGATAATACTAGACAATGAGATGTCAAAATTGATATGATGTCATAGTATATTGACCAATATCAGGCTGATTGCCTATTTTAGGAAATTCGGATCAGAATTTAACAGCATGCGCCGACCTGAAATAGATACCTAATGCTATATCTAAATCAAATTATAAGGCTCTACTTGGCTTTGAACAAATCTATAAAAATGTAACCTGAAGTTTAAAATGTCACATTGGATAAAATAACAAAACTATTGTATAAATTATTTAACATATGATCAATACAGACTTAAACTAAATTAGGTTATACCCAGTGATCGGTATAATCGTATATTTCACAATTTTTACAAATAACAATCGTTGGTTTTAGAAAAGCAATTTAAAATGGATTAAAATCAAAACACAAACCATTCCAAGTGAAATTTCCATTATCATACTATCAATTTAATATCATGTGCGGCACATACTCGACAAATCAAAAAAACTTGGTAAAATTGATGGGAAAACATTTTCAAAATTACAAAATACTGGGATTGAAAGAAAATTATCCAACATGCTTTCAAGAATACAAATATAATAATAAATGGCGTTACCTCTCGTTGTGATTCCCGTTTTGATAAATGTAAATGCTGTAATATTTCATTTCTTTGTTCCATCATTAATGTTCTTTCATACGTATATGCTGATATATCAGAATCATCCTAAAAATAAGTATTAAAAAAGAATTTTCATATTTATCCTAGAGAAGAGAAAAGCTGATAGGACGACAAAACCATATTTGATATCCATTCAAGTTATTTATATCTTTTATAGTCTAAAAGCGTAGGACTTATAATTCCAAAATGACAAGAGTGTTGCGCAATAATATAAATTCATCAGAAGTTCATTTCGATTGCTGTGTTATTCGGTACTTTTACACACATTGGAAATGTATGCGGACAAGATAAAAATAGTGGGATAATACAGTTAACTATCCACTACATAAAATCATAGATAATAGGACATCAATCCAAACAATGAATAATAACGATCTTACCATTTCTACGACCTCAATCTCAGCATCAATACGTAAATGGTAAAGGAAAGTTGCCAAATCTTTTTTCATTTGAATACTGTTGTCTTCCAATTGAGCTACAGTGAATATACGAGTTTTGCAATTCTTCCAAACCTAGTAAAAAAAGAATAAATAAGTGAATTGTTCTTGCCACAAAATTTGTTATACAGCGTATGATTGTGCCCAAAACTTCCAGTAATCTATGTGCATTTATTTTGCCAAGCATATGTAATACAATACAATATACAACACCAAAATTTTTTTATAACATTTTATCCACGCCTTTCGTTCCAAACACGGTAATGCAGAAGCAGACACTGATATCTAACTGTATGTGGAGAGTTATTATTTTTGGGAAGAACTAGAATATTTCTGGTTCGGCATCGCCTCCCCAATTTATTGCACACTGGGTGAGGGGGCAGCCATGGAATTCAAACCTGAAATGTTGAGATTAACGCTTCAACCTATAGGTTGATTCATAATTGGTCATATTATATAATTGAGATTAGAATAATTCCTCTTTGAATCTTTCTTAATTTGATTTTGATCAACAAAGATTCCCAGTCATTCACTGAATATTACTAATAAATATCCTTTATTCATACCTTGTGTTGTCTGAGAAGGAAGGGAAGCAACATAAGTAATCCACCATCATGTACGACCCACCATACATCGATAGTACCTTCCATGATGCGATCTTGTCTATCAGGAAATAGCTGAACATTTTTAGGAACAAGAATAGCATTGTGACTTGCGCCAGCCGCCCGAATGGTATCTGATAATGAAGAAAATTATTATGAAAATAAATTAGGGATTGGTTGATAAAAATGGAAAATATTTTTTGAATAACATATGGGAGATGCAGCAACGCAGAAAACTGAAAATTGTAGAGAGACTTGCTAGGATTGGGTTTACATATTTATCCTGGAGGGGGTGCCGACAAGACATTCGAATGGCGAACCACCGCTTCTCGTCCAGTTACCGGTCCATGTTAGGTATGGGATTAGTTAGCCAGTTATTTGTTTCCGGAAGCATGTACTTGGTGGCGGAGGAAGCCATAACCGACCAACAGTTACGTGAACCACCATACGGCGGCGGGGAGCCCAGCAATTCTTGTGGGATGAGATGGGAACCCACACAGGGTGATCCGAGGTGCTGTGGCGAGTGATTCCTAATGCTTAGCACAGTGGGCCACACCACCGAGAAAAGAGTGAAAACATAGTAAAAGATAAATTTTGATAAAACAACTTACTCAAAAATACTCTGTATGCATCCGGGTCAGGGCTTTGTCTCCAACCATTAGGCCATCCGAGAATAATAGTATTGTGTCTCAATCCTCCAAGACCAGATGATTGTAATAATACATCGATACCATGAGATACATCCTTCGATACAACAACTTGATGAAATCCTTTTATCTTATATTCATTCATGGCTTTTTGTACTTCCTGTGAACCAAGATCATGAGCATTAATAAAGTATTTCGACTAAAAATACAGAAAAAATTTCTTGCGACTTGGCGCGTGTGTTGATTTCACATAAGGTTATGTTAGTGATTCATTCAAAAATCTCGGGCTCAAACTCTATACCAGGGTTTCTCAAACTGGGCCCTCGAATCAACCTAAGGGGCTAAAAAATCTCGGGTTTAAACTTTATACCAGGGTTTCTCAAACTGGGCCCTCGAATCAACCTAAGGGGCTAAAAAATCTTGGGTTTATACTTTATACCAGGGTTTCTCAAACTGGGCCCTCGACTCCACCTAAGGGACTAAAAAATCTCGGGTTCAAACTCTATACCAGGGTTTCTCAAACTGGGCCCTCGACTCCACATAGGGGGACAAAAAATCTCGGGTTTAAACTCTATCAAGGCCACAGAGTGGTTCTCTGGGGACCTTGAGCGAAGACCGTCATTCGGTGCCAAAGTAAATTGACCGATTTAATTAATTCTTTAATAAATTCTGATGCATTTCTTTTTTCCACGGATCGCAAAAGTTTGAGAACCACCGCTCTATTCCCACCATGTTACTCATGGCAAAAAATAAAAAAAATCGATGAGTGAGCTGAAAGATTCTTGTGCTTACAAACAATATAGTTCAACCTTCTTTTAAATGACTATTACGAAACGCTGTTTCATGATAGAAATATTTCGTTCTTACCTGCTCTATCAAACTAAATTTAAAATTTGCACACCTGTTCAGCAGCCTGAGCTTCTGGAAATTTTTCCATAAAATTTCCTTCAATAACAGAAGACACAAGCATAAATCCTTTTCCTGCTTTTAGTTGTTGTGCAAACGATAACATTTGTTTATGTTTTGGTTTTAATTCATCGTCCAATTTCATTAAAATAAGGAGTTGAGGTCTGAAAAACAAAAACAAAAATTTTTTCATTGTTATTTTTTGCCCAGAATACTTCAAAGGAATGACATAGCTATTAGCAATTGTAATAAAATGAAAAAAAACAAACCTCCAATTCTTAGTATGTGGTGGTCCATCTTCAAGTCTTAGTAAAGCATATCTGGCCGTTGTTAATTGAAGACCTCTCAAACCATCTCCCCATTCCTTTTCAGCTCTATTAAATAAATAAACAAACAATAAAATAAGTATATTTAACTGTTTTTTAACATCAACAATTCTTTGAAGAGAAACGTATTCGTGGGTACTCTCGTAGTATGCGTACCAGGTTCTGTGGGTACTCCCGTAGTGTGTGTACCACCAGGTCAGGTTTAGGCCATAATTTCATTCCGATTTTCCTTATTTTAGTTCTAGTACGAGTTCCGGGACTGTCTGTGTAAGCCAAGTGAATATACCCTGCCCATAGGTTTCAGTCCCTTCTCACAACTTAAAGTAGGCGGACAAAATTAGTTACCTTCATATTGGTACACACACTTTTGGAGCGTCTATCAGTGAATATAAACTAATAGCACATGCATCTGAAACCAATAACAGAGACCGGGCGATACACCACACGACCACAGTTTGCTGTATGATTAGGCCATCTTTTTGACATTCCTTTCCTTGTATTATCTATAATTCCTATTCTGAAATAACATATCACTTACCCTCTATATTCAATGTATTTGTATATAAATGCTGCAATGACCAGTGCAATAAGAGCATAATACCAACTAGATATGAACATCAAAGTGATGCATAAAGTCATTCCAAGGAAAGACAACAACCTAAAAAAAGTAAACAAAGCATTATGGAGATCATTCAATTATATGGTTAAAATTTGAATTCAATTCTATTCAATTATTTATAGTAGATAAAATGTTTATAAACAAGTATTAAATGAGTATATAAATTTATTGTGAGATCTGGCCCGCCTGATGCTGCCACAACCAAACTAAAACCAAATTTTGATGTTAAGCTATGCAATAGCTGAAGGGATTTGTTGAGATTGCGATTAAATTTGGTTTCGTCACAAGGCTCACTGTTTTTCACTTGGACTTTTGTAACACTGTAAATATTCTTCGTAAAATGTAACATTTTATGTCACACTTACATGGACTGCCAGTCTGGGTGGGCAAAATTTTTGGCCCCTGGCCCAAAAACCGTGCCCACCTTTGGGTTAGAGCAGTGGTCTTCAAACTTTTTGAGACACGACCCCATCTACAATATTATTACGTATGATAAGCACTCGCGACCCCAAGTTATATATATATATATATATGTTCACCTACAGACACGAAAAAAAATATTTATCAAATTCGAAAATTTATTAAAAGAACCCAACAACAACCATATTTAATCAGTGCGAAGAATGCGACTGCTTCCTCCAACGAGATCTTGCATACGTGGCTTAATGTATATATGCTCATTGTGTTGCTTAAGCACAAACGCAAATCGTGTTCTACGTTTAATCGATTTCGGTGCTTTGATTTAGGGAGACTCATAGCACTAAAAGTCAAGCTTTCAAAAAGATTGATCATACGATATTTTTCTTTTATGTTTATCAGCCATTTAATAAATTGTAATTATCAATATGACGGTAGCCTGGAAAATGAGGCTTTGCAGTAAAAGCAACGGCCATTGTACAGTACATTTAAGACACAATAACGATTTACTTTAAAATATAAATTACTGTCGTTAAGCAATAGCCTTATTATAAAAGAAGTCACTCCAATTCGAAATATCAAAACTTGCTAGCCTATGTAGCGTTATTCAACTTAACAGTGCAGACTACACGCTGTTGTGTATTTGTGTCATAGAACGCTGTTTTTCACACGGACTAAATTTGTGATTATGATGTCATAATTGATATAACGTAATTGCTCTTGGTATTATCTGTCTGCGTGCTTGTTATTCATTCTTTTGTTTGAAGTATCTAGCGTTAAGCCGAGAAGTCACACATATAATAAAAATAATAAAAGAAAAGACAACGATGGGCACTCCGCGACCCCAGAAATATTTACGGCGACCCCACTTGGGGTCGCGACCCACACTTTGGTGACCACTGGGTTAGAGCATGGGTCATGTTTTTTTTTAAACTCCATTCCCACATCCTCACCAAAAGTATGATAAATTGGATAAAAAATGTCAGGCATGGAAGGTTCTTGTCTTTTTAAAAAATAGCAGCTTCCTGTTTATCAGTGGCTTTTTGTCAACTCAAGAGCCTTGCTAAAGTGAAAGAATTGAAAACCCCATAAAAAATAAAATAGAAAAGGGTAAATAAATACTTACCAATGATAATATTTGAATCTTGGTCTCCAGCTTGGTGTTTTTAACAGTGTTTGAAGAGCACAAGCAAGATTTACAAACATGTAACACATCAGGAAAAACCTGAAAAAATCAAACATGATTATATGGAGTCTTTTGCTACTACTCATAGATGGGTTTCGGCGCAGTCTTTCAGGCGCCCATTGAAGCTATCTTAATGGATATAATTACAATGTAGTATGTATGATATAGTTTGTTATATTTTTCTCATAATTCTTAAAGATATTTTTTTTTTTGAAGTTATGTTATCTTATTCAAGAATATGTTTAATTTTTTAATTTTGACTAAGTATTAAAATTTGTTAAAACACTTGTCAAAACAGACTCAATTGACAGCTATTGTCTGACTAGCCATGCCCAAACAGAAGCGAAAAATACTTTAATTCTAACTTAGTATTTTAGCCTGATATTCAGTCAAAATATTTATCATTTATGCTACTTACATTGTAATAATGGGAGCAACTAAGTCCAAATCAGCAATAGCAATACCAATGAGTGAAATACAGAAAGTTAATAGAAGAGCCCACGTTGGTTCCCCGTTCGCTTTTCCTCGACCAAATACCTGCAATTTTAAAAAATGTAACCATTTGCAAAAAAGTGACTTTTATAGAGTAGCAATAGACAATAATCTCAAATAGATTCTGGAATAATAACTTTCAAAGTTCCAGATAAAATATTCTTAATTTCCTTTTCTATGACTCTTATTCACCATCGCCCCCACTAGTACATGGATTCTCAACCAGTGCGCCACGGCCCACCCCAGAAACATGTCCACATGGGCCACAAACATATTAAAATTACTAGAGTTAGTCATAAATTTAGCTCATTTGCGTCACTCACTATAGTTAAATTTTGATTGTAGTAACAATAAATAATGATGCTGTCTTTTTGCTACTGAGTGGTAATTTTCAGTCTTATCATTGAAGTGTCTATTTTTGAAAACAATAGGCATTGAAAACAAACAAATTGGCATGAAAACGTTAATGGGCCACGGAATTTTTATGCAACGGAAATGGACCACGAAAAAAAAAAGGTTTAGGACCACAGCACTAGTATTCACTCAATTGAATATAACCAATTCTGTATCGATTTCAGTACCCGATTTGTTATGGACATCCCTAGTAGCAAATTAGGAAAAAATATTACATTCACTTCAAATGAACTTACACTTAAAATAGGTATGATATTGTCTTTCGCAATAGCTTGCATAAGACGTGGAGCTCCAGTTAGCGATTGCAGTCCCGCACCAACAGTAGATAGGAAAGCACCAATGAGAATAACCCATTTGGACGGCCATGCCAAACGAGAAACAGTTAGATCACTTCCTATGCTGTATCCAAACCTGAAAAGGAAATGAAGAATGATTATGCAAAGTTTTATGATAAGGTGATTGTGGAAAATATCAATATGAAAATCTCACTTATCTCGCAGCAGAGCTCCGTCAATGCAAGCTCCAAAAAACACAACAGTTGATAAATCTGATATAATATGGAAGTTAAGGTTCTGAACCTTCAACAAAATTTTTTTACTATTGGAATCAATATTATTCGATCATTTTACTAAATTGTTGTTATTGTTGTTGAGGGGACTTATGTCGTTGGGAAAATTGCCTTTTTCTGAAATGATTAGACCAATCATTTTCAAACTTTCAGTACGATATTCCACCAAAAATTTTGCCTTTTTTGATTTAAGTGGAATACTTTTTATTCTACTGTACACGACTATTTCTGTCTCCCTTTGATTAGAAGCTTTTGAAGCTAAATTCAGATAACGGATTTCAGTGAAAGCCGAACAGTGCTGCAGTTAGTTATTGGACCTTCATGTTTATATATTTGAGCATTGTTGTTTTTATCTGATTGAAAACACTGCACTGACAAACAGTAAAATTTATCACTATCTTAAAACTAAATTTTGATTTTTCTTATGAAAGGATACAGACAATGGAAGTTGTCAATACAGCGCCGATAGTTCCTTTAGGAATAGAACGTTGAGCATCAGCAAGATCCCCGGATCTGTTTGACCCTGCCATGATTCCTGCCACGAAAATAAAGAATATGAAAACCCATCAACAATGAGTATTGTGATACTTTCTAATAGTAATGCACAAAGCATGCACTAGATAGAATGCTCAGTTCCTATATGAAATAAATATATTTAAAACAGGGGTGTGCAACATTATTATATGCGATATATATATATGTAAGCGGGCCATATAACTAACTTCAGACATCTAGTTGGGCCGCGCAAATAATTTTTTTTTCCATGTATAAAACGAATTAAAAAATTCTCACAATGAAAAGGCTTTCGCTCAGCCTTACAGTAATAAAGGCCCCGGAATAAAACGGCAAATGATTCAACGCAGTGACAAGATAAAAAAAAAGTCTATGAATTTTTAACCCATGTGTGCGGCTTTTTAAACATAAACTGCCTAAATAGGATTGCTTGATGGAAAAAAATGTTTGAAGGCAACACTGAATGGCTTGATGGGCGGGATTGTGGCTCGCGGGTCACCTGTTGCACATCCCTGATTTATGATGAAATCTATAAACTGTCAATTATTAACTATACAATACATGAGCTATAATTAGATTGAATTAAGAGCACAGTGGAAAATCAAATTTTTTTTTTGTGTAAGAATGTTCATGTTCAAAAAATACTATTTATAAGGTGATAAAAATATACCACTGATCTTCTTATCTGCAATGCCAACATAGCAAGGTCCAGTCCTTCCACCATTAAGATATCATCTATATATGAATAAGTTAAGTCAGTCAAGCTTACCAGTTACAGAAGGGAAGAAAATTGCAAGTAAAATAGTGAAAGTAGTAGTTATATCTGCAACGATCCATGTTTCTGTTCCTTTTGGTTCATAAGGTGCAACAGGTACTTCATCAAGAGATGATGATGTTAATATATCTCCATTGTCCATGTAATGGTTAACAGAATTTTCTAAACGAAATAAAGGTAAATTATAATTAAGTAAAATAATTAAATAATGATATAATAATAACAAGGCATGGAAAACATAACCAGAAAACATTGGCTGTTCAACTTCTCACTTCTGAAATGAAAAATCTATAAGTAATTCACCACATCCGTTTTGGACTGGTATGCAGACAAGAGACCTTTGGATATAATATTTCGAGGGCTTGGCTAAAACTTGAAAGCTGTTTGGAGTAAATGAAGAAAAAGCGTACATTATGGATTTTTTATATCACATACCTTCTTATTGAAATACTTGAATACTTAAAAAGGTGATTATTGCTTTAAACTAGCTTGAAGAGTACCTATTTTTTTAACATTTTCAAATAATTTTCTCTTTCAAAATTTTAACATTCACCTTTTTTGTCTTACGTTGCTATCATCTCTACCCTCTCCTGATATAAACATGAAAAGTCCTAATTCTAAGTGTGCCGAATCTAATTTCTGAGCAAATCGAATAACAACCTAATACTGTTCTAATTCCAGCTCAACTGGTGGTACAACTTCCATAATTTCATACATTCCTGCTTAAACTGTCTAACCAACCTGGTGGATGACTCTCGTTTCTTTCTATTTCTACGCCATGTTCTCGTGCTATAGTTCTGTGATGATCACCTGATACATTGGATTAATATATATCAGATAATAACTAGTTAGTTTACTAAATCACCCAACTGACATATATATGAAGGAATACTTTGTTAACTAGTAATTCAGTTTCCTACTTTTTTGAATAAAATTACGAATAATTGTGAAAAGTAAGAGAGATAAAATTCAACATTTTAACAAAACTGTTATTCATATGTATTAACTCTTGAATCTCAACTGGATCTTGACAACGATTAACAATTTTTACAAATCAGAAACATAATTGGAGTTTATCCTACATTTTCCAATTCAATATGGAAATCATGAATCATGATTCACATATACTTTTACAAAGCCAACTTTGGCACATTTAGGGTGACCCAAAAAGCAAAACCCAGATTATTCGAAACATATTCTAGAAAGAATATAACTTTTGTGCAATGCGATCTATATTACTGAAACTTTTGAGCAGAATCATGCACAAGCAGAAGTTCCAAACGTTCAAGTGGTAAATAAATTTGAGAAAAAATTGAAAAATTTATGGGTATTGTTTGCAGGGTCACCCTGTATTATAATAAGGCTGCTAAATGAGAACCTTTAAATTATTCAAGATCAAAACTGATGGAAATCGAGTCTACTAGAACTAGAATACTAAAATATTTAGTATTCATTTAGTCATTACCTGTAATAACTCCGCCAGCCAGACCAGGAATACCCTGTATTGTTCTCAATTGATTTTGAGCATAATAACTATCACAAGTAATAATTGGTGTAGTTGGGAAGACATCTGTGCTGTTAACTTCAGTTCCATTCACAGAAATCATTGTGCTATTTTCTACCATGGTTTGGTTTATGGAGCAATAAATATGAAAGAGTCCTGAATATTCCTGTGAAGGAAAAGAAGATTTAAGTTTCGAATACTACATATTTCACTGGTGTACAACCAAACACACTGTTACTATATTTTACCTTACTTTTCTAAATTGAATTCGGACCTCCAGAAGTATGCGCACCAAGATGGCGCACAACCTGAACATAGTATGTGTGTACCGGTTAGGATTCAGGTTGTGTGACATCTTGGTGCGCATACTTCTGGAGCACCTTAAATTCAATATCTATACAGCAGAAATAAAAATAAAAAATGGACCTTTTGAAGTATGCACACCAAGATGGCGCACAACCTGAACTCAGGTGTACCAGGTTAAGGTTCAGGTTGTGCGACATCTTGGTGCGCATATTTCAGGAGTACCTAAAAAATTTGAAAAATAATTCTCCCATTATAACATTAGGCTTTTCAAATGCCAGGTTCCTATTATTAGCCATCTAAAAACTTTCAACGGATAAGAAAATATTACTTATCCCTAAGGATTAAACATAAAGAATATGCTCAAAACAAAATCAGATATTTCTAAGTACATGGTACCAAAAAAAATATAAAATAATGTATGATTATACACAAAAGATTCAATCGTCTAGGACTCTTTGCACAAAAGTTATGGTCCCTCTGAAATATGTTTCATATGACCTGAGTTCTGGTATTTAGGGTTACTCTGTACATTCAATACAACAAAATAGCACTAGAGAGACTTACTGTTTGATTGACATCTGTAAAATTTGAGCAAATGCCTTGAGGTGGTTCTTTTAAGATACGATTCCCCAGCATACAGACACTGTAAATGACAAAAAAATATTAATTTTTTCAAGTCTTGTAAGTCTTTATTAGTCATAAAAACACTCAAGAATATATAGAAAATACTTACTCAACAGTAGGTGGTAGGAAAGCACTTTTAAGAACACCGGCGTAGATTGCAACAATAGACAATATGACACAGGCGAGGAAAAGAGATGCAAACTTGTTGACATATTTCACTCCGATGAATACTAACGAGGACATGAGAATGAGAAACACTGTGCCGTACACTCTCATATTGTTGAGAAGATTCGCTTTATACTCAGGACCAGCAAATGGTTTGAATATTGCCATATCGTTTGCAATATAGGTCTGGAATAAAATGAAAAATTTGATTCTACATTCCATATATCTCAATCAAAAACCGATGGGCATTTCGGCACCAACAAATTTAAAACTTCCAATGAAAAGTAATTTCCCAAAGGGCCTATGTTGTAACCTGAAACAATTGCAAGCATGGGTAAATTTATGTTACTTCAATAAGTTGATCCAGAAAGAATTTCATCATTTAATCAATAACTTGTCACTTTCTACTTTTCAAGTCTTTCTCCAACATAATTTCGTGTAAACTGGTTTACGGTCAGAGCTGTGGATACTAGGAGAATTCACAATAAACTCCATAGTATTTGAAAACAACTAAAGCCCAGATGCACTATAAAATTAAAAATTTTGACTCCAGCTACCACTTTTAGGAACAAAATTTTGGCCCCCAAAAAAAGACACCCAAGACTCTTAAAAACCTATGCTTTAGTAAATAGCAATAGTAATAAAAACGCGACACTCTAACTACACAAACTAGCTTGTTGCATTCAATACGAGATAACAACACACAATCGAGACTTGAAAACAAAATAATTCAAAATCTGAACAATATTGCTACGTACCAGTAGAATTTCGACTGCTCCAAGAATATACATAGAAGAAGCAAAAGTTGTTCCTAGGTAAAATAGTATTCCAACAGCTCCTCCAAATTCAGGACCTAGTGCTCTGGATATCATAAAATATGAACCACCTGCGGGAACGACACCATTTGTGGCGATGGCACTCATTGAAATGGCAGTTAACAGAGTCTAAAAGATAAAAAGATTATGTATAAAATCCATCTTGTGGTCGGGAATATAGCTTTTCTCCGCAACAAATGGCCAATCCATTTCAAATTATTAGTTATGACATCCATTACTGTTTCCACATTACATTTTGCTGATATTGCGGTGGCTGTACAAGACATTCAAATTTTGCGTCTATACATTTGCGCATTACTGTTGTTCATTTTTTATCATTGTTTATTATTCTTGTTATCAAGTATTAGTCATTACGCAATACCAATACTTTCGCATTGCACAAATTTCGCAAGATTATTAGAAATCCAATCAATATCGAAGTACAAATTTATTATTTGTCACAGTGATCATGTGATATGATGTCATACTTGACAAGGAGACCACTCATAAAATATTGAAAGCAATACGCATTACATCATTTGCCGTGATATTTTCAGGCTTGAAAAATCACAGAAAAAATTGAAATATGGAACAGTACAAAAGTTTTCTAATGTAAAATAAAATGTTCTTTTGTATGATATAAATAATAATGAAAAACAAAAAAGTTATTGAATCAAATAAAAACATGTTCCATGGCCAAAATACTAGCATTAATTGCAGCAAAATTGAAGTTAAAAAATCTAAGCTAAATATCGAGGTAACTAAAACATCAAACTGCAAATCTATATACCAAATAACTCAAAAATTCCAAATTTCTACTTTCTGTAATCTAAAAAAATAACGATTCAATACATGAAATGCAGGTAAAGAAAATCTATACTGCCGTAGTGTGTGTACCAGGTTAGGGTAGGCCATAGTTTTGTTCCGATTTTCCTTATTTCAGTTCTATTATAAGTTCGGGGACTGTCTGTGTTAGCCGAGTCCCTTTACACAACTTGATGTAAAGTAGGCGAACAAAATTACTTACCTCCATATTGGTACACATACTTCTGGAGTGCCAAAAACAGTACCAAAAACAATGGCTAGCTAGAATAATAACAATGCATATATATAAAAATCTTCATTTATCACTTACAGTTGTGCAACAAAGTAGTACAATCATAAAACTCTCCCAAATCCCAGCTAGACCGACGATCCACGTGAGACGAATAAAGAGAATAACACCAAATATATTTTGAACGCACGGCAGATATACTCCCATAATAGTACTTAGTTTTGGAGCCTGAAAATGAAAAGAGGAAAAATAAATGAATATATACAAGTCTAGAAATATTGTTAATTCTTAATAAATAATTATGTAACTGAAATTGATTGTTATTAAACTGTAATTTGATACATAAAAAATTTAAATGTATATTATAGCTAGAGCTGGTTGCTGGTAATTGTCAAAAACTGACTGCTGAAGATAAGAATTCAGCAATGAAAGAGTTTCCGACTACAATGTACAGACGATGCAACTCCAATTCTCCGACTTCAAGAACAAATCCTCTTGTTATTCAACAAGCACACGTGTTCAATCACAGGAATAAAGAAGTGCCGAATGCTTTAAATTTTACAATATTGACAAATTATTGTCTGGTTCACAATCACAGGTCAAAATTCCTAGTCCTAATTATATATTACTGGTTTCAATTTCTTTGCCCCTTCCTCTTCATTTTCATGTTCTTTTGCTCCTTGTGGAAGATTAGTATAGTTTGCCATTGCACTGAGCAAAGTGGCAACACGAGGTCTTTCTTGGAGATCCTCCTGTAAAACAGATATGATACAGGTGATAAAGGGTGAAATATATACACAAAAAATTGACCAAAAATGTGTAAGATATTGCGCATTATAGCAGTAGCCTATAATGTGGTTATTTGCTTCAGACAGATGATTGAGCAAATAAAACAGTAGATTTTAGTGTATTGGTTTCACAGAATACACATACACACAACAAAATTTACTTTTTCCATGAATACAACGACGTAAAAAATTCTCACAATCCATAGAAACAGGTTGTGTGACACTGAACAAGTGGTTGATTTTTTTTTACCTCATATAGTGCAAAATGGTCGCCTTTGACATCTCCAGATTCTGTGTCAACAAGAACAGATCTCTTTTTTCCACCTGCATCTGAGTATAAAAATGTAGGTATTAGAGGTATTAAATAAATAATGGATAGTTTAATATTAATCATAAAATAACAAAACACTTTTCAAATAAGATTATAAACTATATAATATTGATTAAATAAAGTATGATAACAGTATTGTTGATTAGAAAAATGCGAGATAAAAAGAGATGATTATTATTAAATCTAATGTGCATTCTGGTAACTTCAATTTTTTTTGTCATTGTAAAAATCAGAAGTTACATCCTACAATAAACTGGCAAATAATATAAACCTATCAGAGCAGCGTATAACTAACATATTTGTTCTGTTATTTTATAAATAACAGCATTATATATTCTTTTATATATTTATATACGTATCTTGTTATTTATATATATTCTGTAACATGATTTGAAAAAATCTTTCATTAACCCTCTTGCTCTTACCCTTGTAGCTAAAATAATAATAAATAAGAAAAATGAATTTCCTATTGAAATCTAAACCAATAATTTATTGCAAAAATAATTTCATTTACAAAGCATGAATATGAAGCAAAAAAAACGTATATTTTATGACAAAACCGTGTGAAAAGTCTCAACTTCGGTATATACCATCAGCATACATCAAGTATAATTTTGATATAAGGTCAATGCATATTTAAAAACACGATTATTTATTATTATTGTGCTTCACTACAGAAAGCTTGTTTGCGAAGTGAAGCCAATAGCAAAATATCCTTATATAGCAATTTATAATAAAATAGTACAAAAATACATATTGTTCAATATTAGTAGTACAGAATTTAAACCATAAGACTTCATATCAAACAATTAATTCTCGCTTCGACATTTTGCAGATAAAAACATCTTCAATGCTTTACATTACAAGGTCAGTATAAACTTACTCAGTGACAAGCGCTTCGAGAGTCGATGGAGAGAATGCTTAGAAAAAGATGCTTTCTTGAAAGGCTTCTCTTTCTCATTTTCTACTATTTTGGAAGCCATACAATCTTTATCAATTTCACTAGTCATATTTTATTATCTTGTAATAGTAATCATTAGTACACAAATCTTTTCTATCAATTTAACAACCTTAAGCTCTGGAGTCAAAAATTGGAAACTTCTATATTCCTATGATCAAATGATTGCGTTCTGAAAGTTGTTCAATGTTAATACTGTCAACATCAAGTATACCATCAAATTCTTAAATGGAGTAGAACAGTGATTGTTGACCTATTTATCTACCTGCTTGCACCTAAGAGTTTCCATTCAATAGATAAAAAATCTTTTCAGACTTCAAGCAATGGATGTTATATTTTAAGAAGACGTAAACAAAGACTAAGGCTGGCACTTTAATTTAATAACTCAGCTTTGTATTAATGAATAGGCACACTTCATAGATCATTTAAAATGTTATACAGCTGTTATTGGTCATGTACTCTCCGGATTATTTTCAAACTTTCACTTCCAAAAAAAGTGTCAAGGAATATAAAACAATCAATATACAATAAATAAAAAAGCCTATAAAAATGTTCACGATCAACTGAAACACTGATAATGTTACATCAAAATTTATTAGTTCAACTTATATTTATATTAGGTTGAATAACGGATAGTCTGTCTCACTTTTAAGATTGTAGTTAAGACTACCTCATGAACCTATTCGATCTAATATCTAAAAAATGTCCTCCCATACGCCCTAACTTAACTTGACAACACACCTGCAGACGCGAAAGTATAGTGAGGGGTCGACAAAGTGTTGTGAACTAAACATCGAACTTGACGCAATGAGCGGTATTTTGTTCCAACTCATTGCACAATGCGCAAATTAATTAAAGCCACCAATCAATTCCGACTGCGGTAAATCGATTTTCATCAAATCTGAGATAAAGTAGGCTTGACCACAAACGACCCCCTGAGTATTTAATTAAATCAAACTGTGAAACTTCTCTCGATAATACACATTTATACGCCGTCGTTCAATTCGAGATTTCCCTTTATCGCACCAAAAAAAACGGGTATAAGAAGTTATAACCGGCCTATATAATAAGGTAATATCGAGTTTATTTGAAAATCCCGTTAGCGTGTTATTGGGAATATTTACTAATCTTTTTACGTGTAATTAAAACGCAATAGTTTTAATCGGCTATTGCTAAAAAACAATAAATTTTACTCCCAATGAAATTATGTTAGTGAATCGATTCACTTTAAAAAGTAATTTTAAATGTTTCATGTAAAATAATTAATTATTATTTTAAGATTGATGGCGCTTTTGGGACAGTAAATCAAAGTACAACAATTCCCAAGTTGGTAATTACATTCGAAGCTATTTGTACACACATTTGTATTCAATTACTCCTGATAAGGAAGATTTGAACGACCAATCGGAAATGATATCGACAAATTACCGCAAACTTATTTGCGCTATCGGCCAAAAGTTAATTTTCTGTGTCGGGATATTTTAGTCAATGCCGGTCAGAAAAGCATAATATGCCTTTTTTCAAATTGGAACCGAAGGAAATAAAATATAGAAATGTTTAGTGGAGAAACGTTTTCGTGTTTCGTGAAGGACAGTTCAGTGTAGTTCTGGGAAGTGTTTCGCACGAGAAATGCTTCCGTAATAGATACCGAATGAAGCTAAGAAATGTGAAAGCAAAGATCACGCCAAGGTATTGTAGTTTTGTTAGTAACGAGACATAAATCTATGAAAAAATTATCTTCATTCGTCTTTTTTTTATCCCAACCAGGGCGACGAAATTACACTAAACCTATGAATTTATGTTGCACAATCATCAATGATTTAGTTGAATAAAAATAATCTGGATTTTATCACAGTGTACGAATTCGGGAACGAATAAATTAGCAAAAGGGCGACCTCGCAAAGCCGTAGTTAAGGACAAGGTATAGCATTTTTTGGCATAGCGTATCGAAAAATCACTTGCACATTGTCAAAGGCAGGCAATACTTCTTTGAGCAATTCATGGTATACGGCTACGCCATTACCCGATCAACATAAAGCGATGAAGAAAAATAATAATTACGTATAAAGCTCTGAAGACAAATATAATAAGCGGTCGAAATATTGAATGTTGGTTCGTTTAATCATAGAACGATATCCCGAAAAACAACAGATTCGACTTGGGTAACAAAATTTCAATCTAACAAAACAATGTCAGCGATAAGCAAAATATCTTTCGGAAACGGCGCTATCCGCATCAATTACACATTTTATTATTTGCGCTATCGATTGGATTTCTGTGAGACTAGCTGATTATCCATTTTCTTTGCTTTTCGACTGGTGGATTCATATGCATATAATGTAAGTATGCTTTAGCATAAGTGAAAATATTTATTTTAAGTACCGGTAATTGAAGAGTCTGCCCGCCTACACAAATATATTTCTGTAACAATTCGCCTGACCACGGTCAAGACTTTCTCAGACATACACATAACTCAATGAGCAAGTCGGACCTGGGTCAGACAAAACGTAACAGACATATTTTTGTGTTAGTGTGCAGCAAGACGTCAATCACTCAGAGAATTCTATTATTTGTAGCAAACTTGAGCTCAAAGCTCGTATTTGCGGATATGCACCATTTTAACGAACATTTTTTAATTTTTTTTAAATACGAGTTGAGCAAAGTGTTAAAGGAAGAGGAAATAATACTTCATATTTGTTTCGGTCGGCAATCTATCTCTATCTAGAAAGCCGAAACCAACTACAAAAAGCAGAACTACATCGCTACTTTTTGGCAGCACGAAAATCTTTCAATTCCAGCATATTCTACATCTACGCATTGTATTGCAGCCGATGGAAGTGGGTTAGCATAGGGTTTATTCCAATGCATATAACCCGATAGGCTACTTTCCTGGAAGGGTCGGATACGGAACGACATTTTCTTAATTGTTGATTTACCGAATCCCAATACCTTTGGTGTTTCGGGTTCATATTTAACACTTCGCTTCAAAATTCACTGATAATTCCAGCAACGTGCCATCTACTTGCACCTAAGAATATTCAGTACTCCACATATTCACAGCAATGATTCATCGGCGTATCTCAATGCTGTTTCATGAAGATCTGATGATCTGTAAGCTATGTTTTCATGAAGCTGATAGCGATTCTACGCAGCTGTACACGCACTATATGGAACTACCGCCTTTCTTTCTACATCATACCTACTAAACTTGATTTTTCCCCAAATTGTGATGTCGTGGAAGTAAAACGACCGTAAATGGCCGGTGATGACATAGCACGTGTATCTGTATTAAGCAAAAATACATTACAAACTAGAAAATTAGGATAAAAATATACCAATTAATATGGATCTTTCCTCGTCTTTTTTCTTCACCCAAGAAACAGAGAATCCTAGAGATGAAAACATGGAATTTAAGTCTAATACCGTTTGGAAACCAATTCAATCATTCTAAACGTCAAAAAGCATTCGCCGTCATGAATCGAATATTTGAAAACAGAAAGAAAGCATTTCCTATATAAAACAATTTTAATCAGCTTAATTACCATAAAAGGTAGGGAAATTTTGATCCATGGATACAACTAAGTTCGATGCATACAACTATATCGGATAAGGTTTACAATCCAATTGGAAATAAATTTCTAGATCTATTACTACAGTACGACTACAAACTAAAATCTTACGGTTAGCAGCTTTTCTTGGCAAAGACGTAACTTTAGATCCCAGGTCTTCATATCCTTTTTTTCCAGTAGACATCATATTGCCAAATAAATCCGCAGCCATAGCACAAAAAATTTAAACTTTTTCTTTCAACTATTCCCGTTCCCTATTATATTCCAGGCTTGGTCATAAGTTAAGGAAAAAATAGCACGTAGTCCATACAATCATGTTTAAAAATAGTCTTTCTTTCGATTGGACCTTTTTTAGTTCAGAATCATGTAGCAATTCCGCGTGTTGTATAGTGTATTTTGTGTTATATCACGACCGTAACTAGGTATGCTGTTCAAATATAGCGTATATTAATTAGTATATAGAAAACTTCCACCTTAAACCTCATAAAATTGAATTCACCTATTCATTCTGGAAATAATTCCAACAACAAGTCTCAGATAGTAGTTTTATTATTGAACTAAAACCTTCATTCTTCATATGGAACACGCATCTGTTCTTCTCGCTTTCCTGAGACTTTATGATCATCATAGGTTTCTTTGTAATTTCAGAATTAGCAGTAGATAATTTACAAATATGCCCGGAGGCGGTATGTCGTTCCAAAACTAGTTCCAAACAGCTCGCGCCTATATTTATATTTAACGGACACCGTTTTGGGAAACAATAGTTAATGAATTACAGCTTACATCTGAAGTAGTCGTATCCGCCCACCGTATGTTACCCAACTATGGGAAGGCTTAAATTTAGAGAGTAATAACACTAGCCGTTGAGTGAGTTTTCAGTTTTCGCAAACGAACTTCGTCTAACTCTAAAGTGCTACTTACACGTCTAGGTACATGTTGCTTTCGCCCGCATAAAACAGTCGAGTACACAAAACATCGCTATATTCGAGCCTGTGACATGGTCGACTACCCTAAAAATCGATATCCTGACGTGACGGATTTGATATTAAAATTCTGACGTATAACATTTACACGGGATTTTCGAATTACAAATAGCCAACTAGCAAGTTTATTTTACACTATATAGCCGGATGAAGAAAGTGGTAATAGGCGGTTGTAACCATCAACTAACTTGAATCCACAGATTGAAAAAAAAATTTAGCTAATATCAATGAAGCATATAATGTCATTCGTTATACACACATAATGTAATTCAAAGAATAAAAAGCAGAACGATTATCTTGTAGATTTTCTTGAATGGTTAACTATAATATTCTAATTACTGAATCCAGTTTTTTTTTAACAAAGAACACTCATCTCGCCTATGGTCTTGATTAAAACTACCACATCACAGCTAAACGAAAATTGAAGCACTAAGCTTACGCAAACAAGTAACCGCGCTAAGCCGAAGTCTTTTCATTGTCGATACAGTGACAAATATGTCATGCATATATACACAACAAATTGGTGTTCGCTGGTGACGTAGTACTTTTAAATATGACTGATAGTCTGCCAATTCGTCATTTCGAGTGCAGTTAAGTTCGGGACGATTTTGAAAACGATAATCGAAACACTAGAAAACGTTTTATGAGACTGCTGAAACGCACTGAAAATGACTTCGTGCGTGTGGATGGGCATTACCATTTAACGTACATGGTAACATCTAATTTTGTTGATGCAAACACAAAAATTCCAAAACTATTTGCCATTACTATAACTTATAATACATTCGGGTGAAATCGCAAAAATCCCCGGCTTACCAACTATTGCCACCTATTAATACCACTAAAGCAGTGCTCGATTATTAAAAACTACACCGCGTTTTCTTAAGCGCTTTTCAATAATGCTACCTACAGCACGGAAAACCCAAATGATGGCATTCTAGTCAGCTTCCCTCAGGCGAAATAACAAAATAACGATACTTCGCCATGAAAACAAGTTGCAAAATGTCTATTTTTTTCTAGTATACTAAAGAATAGTTCTTTCAAAATAGGCATCAAAACACATTGCGTTGTTTTGAGAATACAGATACTCTGTAGGTTGCATCAGAGAAACTAAGCTACAAATAAAAGCCACTCGCTGATATTAATACATATAAGGCATACTTTACAGGCGAACAGACGCTACTAAAACGGAAATTGTTTTGAAGAATCAACCGAGTAAAAGCTTCATTTAGCCTAACTAAATATGAACGGATCGATCAGCTTTAAAAACCAGACTTAAAGCTATGCCAAAGCGACTTATTCTATGTGGCACAGCTCTACGATGGATGGTTGATCTACGTCTCTCCACCAATTCCATACCCTCTATGACGACGACACGGGCTGGTGAGCACGGATATAACTTACAATTAGTCGAGACCAAACCAGACAGTGTCTCATTCAGCGATCGATGGACGTATTGGATCAGCTGAAAGGTTTGCCGGCTTAGTCAAGCCAGCAGCCAATCGTTGTCGTCAAGAAATGTTTGAATAACAGAATGCATTGCAAAATACTCTTATTATAAAACAATAATGCTAGTCATTAGTCAACATTTATCAATTGTACATTTTCTGTAATGTGATGTGCCATGTTCTCAAATAAAATAATATAACCATTAAACTGAAGATGGTAACAGTTAATCTGATATGAGTATTGTTTTTCTTGCTCAGACACATATAAGAAGAAATATACAATAAAGAGAATTGTGTTTTGATAAGGCTACACCTAGTAAAGAAATGGCAGAAAAATTTTTGCTGAAACTCGTTATTTCCAAGTTTGACAAAGATGGTATCAATACATAAGATATGAGAAGTATTGTTTTTTTTTTTGCTTGATTGGACACAAATAAAAAAAAATACACAATAACGAGCAATTGCGTATTTGAGAAGGCTATCCTGTATTAGAAAATGGCAGTTGAAATTTGGCTGAACTATAGTCTCAAGTTTGACAATAGAAAGTATTATAATGTAAATGTCAGGAACCCATAATATTATAGTCAATAATGACAAAGTAGGACAAATTATAAAGAATTACAGTATATATAGCATATGATATCAATCCTAATGTAATTATATGTATAATGGCAAATGTGTGTCTAACTTTAATTCAAACAAGGCGGTCATTGAATAGAACTTCACACAAGTTCCTATGATGGAAATGAAAAAAATATACCAGTTAAATTTTTAAACTTACCTTCATTATTAGTGGCTTCATTTTCCTCCTTGTTTGGTGGTATTAGAACTACAGTCGGTGGGGCTGAGTCTATTAGTAGAGATCTGAAAGTCATTTAATAAGTGGAAAAATTAATAATCATTATATACTGGCATTCACTATTGCATCAGCATTTGGAAATTAGTAGAACAAACAAATGCACCGACAAAATGTATTTTCAGTGATATTACAATAAAATAACATGAAAAAAAAATTGAACATTTGATTACTGAAAGGTCATAGGGTCACATACTTGACAAACTTGCAGTGAAAACAAATAAGTCATTCTTGAAAAATGACATGCAAGTCAAAGTATAATGATATTTTATCAATACAAAAGGTTCAATAAATTCCCAAATAATAATTTAGACTCTGACGAAACTTAAAGGATATGAGCAAGCTGCATATCTTATGAGTCATCCTATGCTCATACCATTAATTCCTTCATGATCAAAAATTTCACTAATGCTTAGTAATGCCTTTATCAATATTTATTTTAAATTTCGACAAGATTTAATATCTGTACGTTCTTTGAACCCGAAAGTATGGAAGATGGACTCAAATAATTTCACAGGACTCAAATAATTCCACAAATAACAAACTGAACCCTTAAACTTTAAAACATTATCATATAACGTAATAAATGTCAATGACCAGATCAGTAACTCAGCTGGAACATTTTTGCTGGAAACCAGTATTAAAAAGATATTAATGATGTCTTTGGCATTTTTGGTTGGTGAAATATTAAAAAAATTATAGAGGGGTGTCAAAATGACCCAGGAACACCAGCGGTCATTAGGTTAAAGCATGTACTTTGTTGAGTTCGCAGAAAAAAACAATAAAATTAGTAGTCGATCATTCCAAAATATCAAAAGTATACATCAAGTCACACATACTTTTTATTTTTGTCTCTGGTAAAAATTGAGTCAATTTAAAAAGAACAAGCCCAACATAAATCCATTATATATCAGTATAAAGCAAAACATCCTTAGGTTCAATTAATATTAGCTAGGTAGGCTAATATTCATACACAATAATCTCATATACACACAGACCTAAGATCCCATAACCCCCCCTTGATTATGGATATTCAATAGCAATCATAAGCTAAAACTGTAACACAGTACTGCATACTAACTTTTCTCCGGGCTCCTTTTCTTGCTTTGCATTTTCAGGCTGAGCACCTTGTTGATCACTCTCTTCCTCTGTCTTTGTCACTGTGAATCTGACAGTAGACATGATGAGGAGCAAATGTGAATGTCTCTAATGAAAATCAGAGCACCTATTCCCTTTATTATGCCGCCAAAGAGTATGCTTAATATTATCAAATTTTCACAAAAAAAAAGATACTGTAGTTTCACTTATGTATGACAATATGTATATATATATCAGTCTGTTAAAATGAAAAATTGAACATTTAAAATTCAATTAGATATAGGCAACTAATTTTTCAGAGTTATAATATGCTTGAAAATATCTCTAACACAGTAACATAGCAGTACAGTCGTCTATTGATAACACTTTACAATAAAAACAAATTAAGTTACGTGTAGCTGCATATTTGGTTTCAAAATTGAACTTTAAGAACAGGCATGCATTTTCACTTTTCTTCCACAACTAGTTATATAAGCACTCCAAAATTACATTTGTAAATATTAAATCAAAATATATTTTGAAACAGAATTAACAATCTTTGGCTAACATAATTCTAAAATCTTTTAGCTTCCTTGTCCTGAATACTTTGCCTCAAATTTTGTTTCAGATTTGAATAAAACTTATATACTATTTTCTCTCTGACTGTGATTCCTACTATTATATAACTAGGTGAGTCACATATCAGCATATACTGCATATGAATAAATAAAATAACCATCAAAAATAGCCAACATCGTTAGATTTCTAGAAAACAAATCTTATACTGATGCTTATCTGGATATTTTCATACATTACAGCATTATGATGCTTCAAATACTGAACTTGTGTCTGTGTGTCTGCAGAGAATACAAACACATGAAACAGAGTCTATTTAGACTGTCAGTAGGCTACTCAGCTAACAGACAGACAGAGCAAAACAGGTGCTCCTATTCCAGTATTCAGATATAAAGAAAGGTGATAATTAGGTGAAAGGTAAACTGTAACGCTGTAATGAAAAACGTCAGAAGGGTGTGAATTTCTGTATATATTGTATATTAGATCAGATATCTGGATATTGGTGTACCATAGTGCAGTAGTGTGTATTCAACCTTTACTAACCCTTAAACTACAGAACTATGTGACATTAGCACTTAGCAGTTGACGCATTCCAACATTTTGACACTATTAGACTAGATAAAAAATCTTCTATTCTGACGATCTACTGACGGCACCGTACTGTTGTTCTGTTTCACATTATATTGCGAGCTACAATGAGTAAATTAAACTATCGATATATCCGCCCACACGATTACAAACCAGCCACAGAAGTATGATATTCATTTGTGACTAAAAAAACACGACTTGTTTTGAATTAAAATCTAGCCCCAGGCTAATTACCTCCCGGTGACATTGGCAACCGTATAGCCTACCGGTATATCTTTTTTCGTTTCGAAAACGCAGAACTAATAACTTACGAACTGAATTTGAAATTACGATAAAACGAAAATCCCAAACAGGTCCACAAATGTACCGGTAACTACAGAACTTTCAATTGTCACAATATGCAAACTCAAATCTACTTGGGCTAAGCACGACGCTTAGTCATTATTACCATCAAACAATGTCTCACAATGCAAAGGCATAGTAAACGAAGAACTCAATTGCGCAATGATGAATAAACTCTTACATTTTGCATATTACAGCAAGGCTCAGCTGTTAACACCTACAATATCCGCTCATTGAAGTCGACAGCATGTGCCATATGATCGGATCGCTTATACATGTTCAAACCATGCAAGACGCGTTGAAAAATAAATTCAAGGTCAAGTTTCCTAATGCAACCTGTTTCAAAATAGGCTGATTCCCACTGGACCAAAGTAAACACGGAGCAAGAAACTCAAAGGGGCGTCTTATTTTTTTTTAATTTTATGCATGAATCTAAAAACATTGTATCAAGTTTTCAACGGGATTACAAATTGTCATGCAGCTGGTTCCCCTCCATCGCCGTTTCCAAAATCAGTATATATAACTATAGAAAGCAGGGTCGTTTATCAGTGAAAAATAACAAGGGAGGTGTTTCTTTTTCATTGGATGGACAAATTATTTCCAAGGAATATTTGTATATACTATATATGCTGCCCAAAATTTCATCAACGCATTAATAATTTCCTTCCGATCCAATATTGTATATCGGATCTCGGATAGTTGTCGGTTTCAATTGACCTGTAAAAACCGCCGATTAAAGAATTTATTCACCTCGTGTGTAACTTTAAACACCAAGACATTGTATCAAATAACTTAGGAACGATAACTTCTATTGATAGTGGTAAAATAATGCAACATAGTAGAGTTCAAATCAGATTTTGATTAAAATACCATGTCCTTGAATCGGGCTAAAATAAGGAAGTATCGCGGAAACTGTGGTGAAATAAATACTTTGATACAAAAGGAAACGCGTTCGAAAGTGGTGCAACTTGTATTCGTGATGTACTGAAATTATGTAGAATGATAAAAGTGAGGGGCTAATTCCCTTTAAAGGTCTATTCACCATTTAATATACTTAAGCTGATAAAAAAAAAGTAATAATGGAGTCAAAATTCACTATATGACTGGGAGTCATATACTATTCCGGCGGGAAAGCTCTGCAAATAAAAAAAATTAATGACCCCATAGTGCCACCACGCGGTGTCGTAGGAACGTCACGTCAAATATAAGTTTATTTCAATCAATCTATTTTATTTGGTCACTCTGATACAAACAACTTCATGATCAGCAGTAGACAATGAAATGATTGATAAAAAAAAATAAATAAAACTGAATATAGAATCGGGAAAACAAACAAAACCTCAAGTAAGGTTTAAAGCGTACATATAACAGGTGGGAAGGTATTGATAAAAGAAGTAGTACGTGTTCAATCAATCAATCAATCAATCATCATTTATTCGTCAACACAATTTAAACATGGTATGATGTTCGCTCACCCAAAAGTAGCCTATTACAACAAATTAAGGTACGCACGCACACACACAGAAACATAAAATCATCAAGACATGATAAGGTGGGGAGAGAAAAAATTGATAAAAAGAAAAATATACAAACGATTAAAAAAATGAATAAATTCTTTTGCCACACCAAATTAATAATTTTATGGGGATTGCCGAATTGGATACCGAACTAGTCAACAAGATTTATATATATATAGCCTACTGTGGATAGAAAAATATTCCTCAAAAGATATCAAGCTAATTATAATTGGAGTCACTTAATGCCAAATTGCCCAATCAGAATTGCCAAGTTGGATGCATGAAGAGGTGGGCTAGACCTGCTTCACTCACCAGATAGAAGCCAAATTAACGTCCAAATTATTGTAAATACTCTTAATCAATAAAATTACCGGTAATTATAATTAAAATCAATTGAGGCGATATGATACAGAAATAGGAAAATTGGTTACGGGAATATATAGGTTATTAAAGGTTCGAGTAAGGTTTATAAAGTCATGGATTATAGG